TTCTCAACCTTTTTATACGGCGGCCCCAGTCATAAGCAGGCGGCGCGCATGCGCGGCACTGCCCCCTGCGCCAGCTGACGAAAAAAATGGCGGATCGCGTTGTTTGGCAACCCCCGTGAAATGGTCGTTCGACCCCAAATGGGGTCACGACCCACAGGTTGAGAACCGCTGCCCTAGACCAAAGTGACTGTGTTTCCTCCCATCTATGTACAGGAGCCTGAGGCATTTCTGGGCGTGAGCGCTGACACAAGTGGCATCCATGCACTTGAGTCTCTATCTCCCTGTCTAACCCTGGCCACCACAAATGGCTACGCGCAAGCGCCTTCATCCTGACAATGCCAGGATGGCCCTCATGAAGGGAAGCCAAGACCCTAGGTCTCATTGAGGTAGGAATAACAACTCTGCTGCCCCACAACAGACAACCCTGAAAGGTGGATAACTCATGCTTCTTGAGCCAGAAACTCTGAAACTCAGTACCTGGACAACTCTCAGGCCATCCAGACAAGACCCAGGACAATACACGAGTGAGTGTGAGATCCGTGGCTGATTCAGCAGCCACATCTCTGGCATTTAAGGGAGACTCAGGCAATGCCTGAATGGAAAAAATGATGGCAGGGGCAGGGTCAGCCTCTACCATTTGTAAAGGTAATCTACTAAGGCCATCAGCGTGGCCCATTTCCTTGCCAGGTTTGTGAACCAGGGAGAAGTCATAGGCTGACAGAAAGATGGACCATCTCAGCATTCTAGGGGAGATGATATGGGGAGTTTGTTTGTTGGTAGTAAAAAACCTCAACAGAGGCTTATGGTCAGTACAGACCGTGAAGTGTCTGCCATATAGAAAATCATGGAATTTTTTAATTCCAGCAACAATGGCCAAGGCTTCTCTATCTATCTGAGCATAGTTTCGCTCAGCAGAGGACAAGGTTCTGGAGTAATATGCAACAGGAACCTGAATTCCATCAGTTCTTAAATGGCTAAGTATAGCTCCCACCCCATAGGGGAAGCATCACAAGCGATGCACACAGGAAGAGTTTCATTAAAATGTGCAAGCACATCATTTGATGTAAGTAAGGCCTTGACCTCATTGAAGCTTTTTTCGTGTGCTTGTGACCACTGCCACACTGCCTGTTTGTCTAAGAGTCTATGAAGTGGCTCAGCTACATTAGCTTTGTTAGGTATGAATGCATTATAAAAATTCAAGAGGCCCAGAAAAGCTTATAACTCAGCTTTAGACTTAGGCCTAGGAGCTTGCAGTATAGCCTTTAATTTAGACTCAGCAGGGTGAATACCCCTGGCATCTTTCTAAATCCCAGGAAATCTGTAGAAGACACTCCAGTTTTGCATTTGTCTTTTTAAAGCTTGAGACCTGTTTTCCTGAAACGCAGCAGAACAGCCCTCAATCTCTCAGCTAAATTTTGAGTGGATTCTCCTGCTATTAGGACATCATCAGAATAGAGGCAAACCCCTGGTATACCTCTCAGGGTGTTTTCCATTACAATTTGGAAAATTCCAGGAGCTACATTCACTCCAAATTGTAGTCTTTTGACTTTGAATGCCCCCCTATGAGTTACAATAGTCTGTGCTTCAGCAGCAGCTTCATCAACAGGTAACTGTTGATAAGCCTGTGCTAAATCCAGCTTTGCAAAAACACGCCCCCCTTTGAGGGAGGCCAAAATGTGTGAGCAGAGACATTACCCTGCCAACAAAAGTGCGTATAGTCCAGGCCATGGTTTTCCCAGTTGCAATGTATGGCTGTGAAAGTTGGACCATAAGAAAGGCTGAGCGCAACAGAATTGAGGCCTTTGGAGAAGACTTCTGTGAGTCCCTTGGACTGCAAGGCGTTCAAACCGGTCAGTCCTAGAAGAGATCAACCCCGACTGCTCTTTAGAAGGCCAGATCCTGAAGTTGAAACTCAAGTACTTGGCCACCTAATGAGAAAGAAGGATTCACTGGAGAAGAGCCTAATGCTGGGAAAGATTGAGGGCAATAGAAGAAGGGGACGACAGAGAATGAGATGGCTGGATGGAGTCACTGAAGCAGTAGGTGTGAATTTAAATGGACTCCAGAAGATGGTGGAGGACAGGAGGACCTGGAGGAGCGTTGTCCATGGGGTCGTGATGGGTCGGACGCGACTTCACAATTAACAACAACAACAACACAGGTATAGGATATGCATGCTGTTGCAATGCCTTGTTTAGAGTGCATTTGTAATCTGCACAGATGCAAATGTCCCCATTAGCCTCGAGAAGCGTGACTATGGGAGTTTCCCATGGACTTGAGTCAACAGGTTCTAAAACACCTTGCTGAATCAATTTGTCCAATTCAGCATCAATTTTTCCTTTCAAAGTAAAGGGGACTCTCCTTGCTTTCACTCTAATGGAAGTGACAGTGGGGTCCAGTTTCAAGGAAACTGGGGGGCATTTGTATGCTCCCAGCTGGAGGCTGAAGACATCTGCAAATTCTTTGCAGACTTCTTGTAGACCTAATGTTTGCAAATTGTGAAGCCCTGTAACTTGTATTCCCAAGGCCTCAAACCAATCGAGTCCAATGAGACTCGTTCGTTCATCCCCAACTACCAATACATCTAATGGACTTTCAAAATCCTTGTATTGTACTGTAAGGGTGGCCTCCCCCTTTACACACACCTTGGAATTTTGGAAGTCTGTTAAGACTATATTGGATGGCCTAAGCTTGGCCTGGAACCCACTGCTAGAGCAAATCTTTCTGAAAGTGTGAATAGAAATGATTGAAAGGGCAGACCCAGTGTCCAGTTCCATAACCAATGGAACTCCTTGCAACTTCACCTTAAGTGACAGTTTCTTTTTAAGTGGCCTGTGTGTGCCTGTCCTATAAATGCTTCTACGTGATGCACAGAAACCCACCCTGTTTTGGCTGGGGACCCTGGTACCTTTCAGGCGCAATTCTTCTCGGGATTGTACCTTCTGACGGCCCAGACACACAGCTGCTATGTGGCCTTGCTTGCCACATGCTCTACAGATTGCAGAACGGAACCTGCAGTCGGTCCTCTTATGGCGACCTCCACACCCGAAGCACTTGGGCACAGCTGAAGACTTTTCTTTGCCTTCCTTCTGCTTCCTTTCTTTGGCTGGGTAGAGATGATCCACCTCATCTTCAGGATCTTCTTCCGAGCTCTCCTGGACTCCCTCATGGTGCACGGAGACGGCTTCTGGGTTGTTCCTGATAGGCCTCATGTTCTTGACTGCCCCACCTGCTGCCTCTTCTGCAGTGACCTCGCTCAAGGCATCTTGGAATGAAATGTCCTCCTTTGCAAAGAGTCTCTGTTGCAAGTCTCTGTTCCTCAGCACACATACAAATCAGTCTCTCAACCTTTCTTCTAAGTCTTTAAAATCACAAGGCTTAGCTGCTCTTCTCAAGGCTGCAATATATTCTTTATCTGATTCACCAGCTCTTTGATCCCTCTGTTCAAAAGTATGTCTCCACGCAATAACAGACAACTTGGGCTGAAAGCGTTCCTTCAATAATTTTTTAAAATCTGTGTAAGTGACAGATTCAAGAGGAGCAGGGGCTGCCAAATTTTCTGCAATCTCAAATGCATCTTGACCACAGACACACAGCAAAGTAGCGGCCTTCAAGCCATCTTCTCTTACTTGATTTACTCTAAAGTAATTTTCTACTCTGGCAACATAAGACTCCCATCTTTCTGGGTGAGTGACATCGAATTCAGACAGTCTCCCTATCTTCGCCATTCTTGCTTCTATGTTAGGAAGGGGTCTATCAGCCAGCTTACCTCCAGCGACACTGTACTGGCAGGCCGAATGCTGAGTTTAACGCCGTCTTCCTCTCTCCAGGACTCTTGGGGTAAGCTTACAATTCTTCTTTTTTGTTCTTGTAAGCCATCCCACCTTCGTCGCCAGTGTTGAGTCCTCGAGTCAACGGCAAATGAATACAGCACATTCTGTAATTCCAACAGCCCTTTATTTCAGTAGTTCTCTCTTCGTCACAGCTCTGAGGCTCGCAGGCCTCTCTCACTCCTTTAATAGAATCCCCGGGCAAAAAGGTAACATTCTGGCGCGCTTCCACATCTCACGCATGTGCGCAACACCGGCGCCACTCAGTCTGTTCCTGGGCAGCTTGCAACTGCCCGGGACCGTTGCAACGTCCCGAGCCTGCCTTTGCAGGCTCAGGACACAACAGAATCCAAAGCTGGTTCTGCAGGAACATGTCTGCACAATATTCATAAGCAACAGCCAGCAACAATTTAACCATTTAAAAACCAGAAACTGCATTTATTTTTCTAGACCACTATTAACCTTTGAATGGTGTAAATACACTCCCCCAAATTAAGAAAAAACTAAAGTTAAGTTCATTTATATTCAATAAGAATTCAGTATAGTTATTATGTAATGAATATTACAACTCTTGTCACTGAATTTTTTTTGTCTCATTAAATATAACTGTTTGATAATTTTAGGAAATTGTTCAGGGTGTGCCTGAAGTTTTTATACGGATGAAAATCCAGCAGGTGTCCATGCCAGAATTTCAAAAAGTTCAGAATGCATGTTGAAATTAGCATTGTCTGTTTAGAACAAGCATTTTGTATGTTCAGTGATAATCTACATGTGAACAAACAGGCTTTTTATAAGAACAGTTTGTACATATGTATATGTTTGTGTGCATCTTCACATATTTATATATGTATATAAAAGAGAAACTAAAATGTGAACATCAAATAAATAGAAATATATCTTTGTTTTATTTGACCATGATATAGTGAGTTGCCCTGCAAAATAATCCTAAAACAAAATTAATTATATGAGTGCTATGCTTCTAATCTGCAAGCTGTGAAAAATAGGGGAAAATGCAAAAGAAGATTCTTGTTTAAATACAATCCACATAATATTTAACATGTTTTTTTTAACTCTTACACAATTTAGAATTACAAGTTATATTGCATAAGAAATACTTTCTATTAGAATATATCCAGGATTAATTATGATATGCACTAAGAAAAAACACAATTTTTTATCAAATGAACAATCTTTATTTCTTATGGAAATGGAGATGGTAGTGAAAAATACTGAAATCAAAATACATAGGCAGAAGGGAAAACTAGTACAATTCTACAAATACTGTATGTAAGTATAAAGTTAATATAAGAGTTCACACATGTAAAGTTGAAAGCCATTTTCTGCTTCTATGACGCAAATGAAAATGAAGCAGTGAAGCTGGTGTCATTTCCCCCCCCCCCAAAATATTCAAGTGTAAGGCAGGGCTTTTTTTCTCATAGACCGCCCAGAACAGAGTTCCGGCATCTTTTTTGGATGGAACCTTGTAGGGTAGGCAAGGCGGCTGTATGACGTGTGTGAGTTCTGGCACCTTTTTTCTTTTTTTAGAAAAAAAGCACTGGCGTAAGGTATAAAAAAATCTCTTCCATGGGCCTAAGGAAATTATTAGAAGCAATCTCATATTTGGCAATTTAGGTATTTTGATCCAAAGCTTTGCTAACTTTAATACGTAAGGGAATGTGTCTAGGATTCTGATCATTCCAAATGTAATTCTCTTCCATAAAGATCATATTCTTTGAAGAGGATAAATTCTGTTAAAATTGGGGGCAGAGGAAGATTCTTCACAGATAGAGTCTTCTCTCTTCTCACTAATTCTATAGATTTACGTATTTTCAGACGGCACAAATGTTTTAATGGACGAGGATTCTCTGAAAGACAAAAATAAAAGAAATGGAATGGAAAATATGTCTGATTAATTTAGCACTGAAGAATCATACGGTGGGCAGTAACCTAGAGATAATTTGGTCTAACCCCAATACTCAGTGTGAGATACATTAGAGCATGACCATCCAGACTATTTGAAAACCTCCACTGAAGCCAAACTGATCACATCATATGGCAACCTGTTTTCATGGCTTACAGCTCATACAATCAGGAAGCTGAATCCACTTTTTGAATCCACTGATTCAAGTCTTGATCACTGGAGCAAGAGAGAATATTTTTATTTGTCCTTCCATGTGACTTCATATAGTTGCTGCTATCATATCTCCTTTCAGTTGTCTTTCTTATAATCACATCTGATTTCCAGACCTTGGTAGCCCCCTTTGCTCCAATTTTCAGTATTCTTTTTGAACTGTGATGCCCAGAACTAGACACAGCACTCCAAGTAAAATCTGAAGAATGCAATGTAGAATGGAATATAAATTCCCATGATCTGAACTCTTTGCTCCTATTAATGCATCCCAAAGATAGCATTTGCTGCTATTAATGCATCCCCAATATAGTTTTTACAGTTGCATCACATTCCTGGATCATGTTTAATTTGTGATCAATGGCAGTATCCAAATCCCTTTCACATGTACTACTGCCTTTTTATCCTAGCGCCTCTCTTATTTTCCATCTAAATGCAGAATGTTACATTTCTCCCTTTTGAATTTTACCAGCTATTTATGCCTCCTAGCTTTGTGTCATCTGTAAACTTAGTAAGTATCTAAGTTGTTGATAAAAGCTTCCTAGATTAACAGGCCTGGTAAAATCCAGAGAAATCTATGGTGAAAACATCACATCATGTGATATATGTTGACCAAAATGAGACACACTATTGCCAGCTGTCAACACAGTCTTAAAAAATGCTTCTGTAGCACAAATGAGTAGCTTTGACTTTACCATACATTTCAAATTTTATTATTTCTTTGCTGGTATTAGACAAATGATATCGCTTAAACGACTTTTCTCTTATTGATCATATCTGGTCTGGCTTTCAGATGCTAGAAATTCATGTCAGTATTTCAAATATATCAGTTTGGAAGGATAGCCATATTTATGATGCCAACTAAACCAATGATTATTAGAATTTCAAGAGGATGTGGAGTTTTCACTTACAAGAAAAAGAGGTTTAGAAGTTCCAAATACACCCATTTGTACATTAGATCATAAATTATTGTTCTTTGCCATTGATTTTGTATTACACATTTGCTTTTCTGTAACTGTAGTTCTGTAATAGGCTTCTTACCTATAGATTCTCTTGGATTCCATTTGGATAATTCTATATGTTCCAAGATCAATCTCTCCCCTCTATTGCTATAATAAACCTTTGTTCACCTAATCCTTATATATTCACAAGGCTATAAGTACATCTGAAGATGGTATTGTTAAAAAGCAGGACACTGTTATAACATAATAGCATGAAATTATTCAAAATTTTAAAACACAATACTTTTTTTTGTTTTTGTTTTCATAGATTAAACAACTGGCCTAATTCCAAGCCAACAGTATTCATTTACCTAATATTTTCTGGATTTCTGGCCATTCTTTCTGAGTCTCCAAGACAAATTTAAGTTTTATGCAGAGAGGAACATAATCCATATAATCTATCAAAATGCGGACAATGGGTCCAACTAAATGTTTCATCCAAGGAAGTGTAATAAAGTCACAGAACTAAAAGGAAATATGACCAGTGTTATACTAAATTATTTTCAAAAATGTACTATTATAGTATTGTGCAGAATTCACAAACAGATCACATCATAAAACAAGATGGATTAATCCAAATATTTCTTTAAAAGGCAGGAGAAGCTTGTTAGAATTCTTAAAATATTACAGTGCCATTTTATTGTATTTGCAGTTCTCTATATCTCTTTGGGAAGAAATTGGAAAGCTGTATTCTGAGCTGAAATACCTGATCTTTACTGGTATATCTAATGACTTATAAAACACTAAACATTAAGCTTGTTAACAAAATAGATCATAGAATTCTTTACAATACAGCTGAAGTTCATATGATATCTTGTGTTTTAATAGATAGCCTAAAAGTACCTAAATAATGAAATGACTACATTTGATAGTCAAGATGTAGGCTTGCAACAGTTTTGTATGGAATCTAAGAAACCTCTGATACCACATAATTTAAGTTTTTCTTTGGATTAACTTGTTCTTCCTTTCTTTCCACATAGCACTAGGCATATTGCTGGCACTGCTCTATCAACAGTTCTTCCCTTGGCTCCACCCTTTGGAAGAAAGGTACATCTAACAGAGCAATGTAATGCCTGCATCTCTAAGCATGCTTATCAGTAGCAGAGACAAGGACAGAAACACGTGTCAGTGTTTTCTTTTTACAACAGCTTTTATCCTCATGCTACACTTGGCCTTTGTCATTATACCTAAAAATAGAAGAAGGAATAAGCATTATTCATACAGATCTTAGTCACGATTTTCTTTGGGGGAAAAGATACAATCAAAGTGAAATATCTGAGATCTTAAACCCAACAATAGCTAACCTAACACTCTCTCCTTAACAAATGTTGATTAATAATAATATTAAATAGAAAAAAATATTCTTACAGGGTTATCTTTAATTACACAAGATGTCCATCCTGGTAATATCTCTTCCTCTGTTGTTGGCCACAAAAAAGAATTTCCGAAGATACTGCCATGCATGCAATCAAAACAGAGGTCCACATTGTACCCATGGTTAAGCAGCAACCTTAGCATGACTTCATCATTCAAGGCATATTGAATGACACTGGGGAAATGAGTGTCATTCACAAGGTTAAAATAACAGTTGACATTTGCTCCATAAGAAAGAAGCAACCGTACAATTTCATGGTTGTTTGCTCTCACGGCCACCAGAAGGCAATTGAGAGGATCTTTATTGGGGTCTGCACCAGCTTGCAATAATATTTCAGTGGAGAGAATGTCATTATTGGAAACTGCAAAATAAAGTGCCGTTTTCCTTTCATCATCATAACTTTGTGAAATGTGTTCTGCCAGAAGAACATTGACATCAAACCCATTTTCAATTAGGAGTTCCAGGCACTGTGGATTTTGGCCATCTGCTGCTGAATGGATGGGACTCTGCCCACTTTTCCGAATTGCAGTTCTGGATGTAACTGGAATCAGGAATTTCAAAGCCCTACAAAAATAGGGAAGATATATTTAATGTGGTGGCTAAAATACAGACAACAGATAAGTTACAAAGATAAAGCTTAGCCCTGGACTGTATAATTAAGATAGAAGAATTGTGTGTATTTTTGTGTTCAGAAGACTCAGCTTCAGTTGCTGATGCCTGTAGATTACAAGAAAATCTCAGGACTAGGACATTATACAGATAGCTAAATACCCAATGAAATTAGACAGTATTAAATGGCCTACATTCATCTTTGTGTCTTGGCTTGCATTCATGTACAAGTTACTATGGAGACTATAGGCAAATCTACCTGTCCCCCATATAACAGTTTTACATGTTCCTGCTCAGATATAGAGGTAATCGAAATATTGCTACCTTGCCATTATACCACTCATGGAGTCTGGCACTCATAAATCTGATTATCAGAAAGATTAGTTCTCTTTCTGATCAATAAATTACAGTCTTCCTTCTGCAAGACCTAATTTAGACAACTATTACAATATTTTCTCACAATAGCTATAATTATTGTCTTAGGTTTCTTTTTTGTTCTATATTTTAAATTTTATTTATGTGCTTTATTAGTGTTTTCTGTGTTTTTAATTCTGTGATTGTGCTTTATTGGTCTGGAATTTACAGTCAGGATTTATTGAGTGTAAATAAATCTATTTCCTTCAACTTGGGTTGATGTGATGTTTCTGTAATGAAAAATAACTCTATTCTGTAAAGAACCAATTTCCCCATAACAACCTACTGCACTTGAAAGATGTATTTTGATGACAGCATCAATTTAGTGACAATCATCTGTGAGTCAAAACAATTTCACTCTTATAACTTGAAAGCAAGCATCTGCCCTTTCAGTGACTACTAAATACAATGGTCAGCAATTTAGCTACCTCAATCTTTTTGAGATTTATAGCATTATCACTACTGCTTAGCATTTAGAATTTGCCCTTGATACTCATGCATCCAAGATAATGGAATCACTTGTAAGAAAGAGATCTAGGAAGAAATTTTTGTCCACTAAATCTCTTTTCATTTTAAAATGTTCATTGTCATGAAAGAGCTCAAATGTAGGAACTAAATTTTGTCACATAACTTTTGAACATTATTTATTTCCCCTTCTAAATAAATCTGGGGAAATGTTTGATTAGCATTTTAGGAAGCAAGGCTAGACCCTTCCTTGAATGATGATGAAACCCAACTTTGGAGGTTTCTGATATCAAAACTAGAGAGATATCCAATTCCCTATTAGGTTCATCTCAGGAGACAGCAAAATTGTCCTCCTTGTTTTAAAGAAGGAATTAATTTAAACTAGTATTTTTAGATTGAAAACCTAGTGGAAAAAAGTATGTATCTGTGGAATGTAGCTGTTCCTAACATGCCTTTCCTCTTGACTGTTTCTTACTCCTCCCATCTTCACTGTTCTTAAGGTCAGAAAAAAAACCAAACAACTGATAGGGAGACCAGTCAATTTTTTCAGCACTAATTTTTTTTCTCCCTTAGCTCATTTGTCATGAATAATAAAGGCCATGAGCTACTGTTCCTGGGGTATATAATTCTGTCTGATAATTAAACTAAACCTCAACTTAAAATTGAAGAAGAATGAATGATAGAAAACAAAATATATTGTTGTATTTTTAAGACAGTTTCCATAAGGTTAATATGCTTCCAACACTAGAAGAACGACTGCAGATGGCCTATAAATATTGTAGAAAACAATTAATCATCATTTAGAGGCAAGATCATCTAAGATGCAGCTTGAAGGAAGCAGAATTGGTGAAACTTGTGTTGGTTTGATTTTTTGGGGTATACAAGACTATGCATGTTTAGATTTACGCAAATTCATATACATCTTGGAGGAGAGCAAGGGGAGCAAATGACAAAGCCCACATATTTACATAAGGAGCAGAGCTTACATAGCAATATTACAAAGCAAGTTTCATCATTCTCTAAGAGGCCTATGGACTCAGCAGATGTTGAGATTTCTATAGATATCTCCCTGTTTTTATTTGTAAAGTAGCTGTAGAATTAGGAAAAGCTTTATTGTAATGGGAGGGAAATTTAAGAATCACCATCAGTTACAGAAAGATGCAAGCATGTATGATATTCCTAACCATTTAAAGCTACTGCACTCTACTGTTCAGCCCTGAAAAGCAGAATCCCATTTATTTCTTTAAAAAAAACAGAGCAGGATTCAGTAGAATGTATTCTTAGGAAAGTTTGTATAGAAATGCAGCCTCTGTTTGAAGGCACCTCCAAGAAAGCTCCCCCTTTTTATTTTTTTGCATATGCTGTCTCATAACCCTTGCATATGCTGCACATTTACAGGGTAAATAAATATCAAAACTGTCATAATTCATTAGGTAAAGTTGTTGGATGAAGAAATATAAAAGGAACACACTCACAAATAGTGTCCTTCATATGCTGCTCTGTGTATTGGAAGATGTCCTGCCTTATTAGGCAAATTGCCACTTCCCCCATATTCCAACAGCAAAGCTATACAGTCAGGATTACCACCACCAGCTGCTTCAAAGAGTATTGATGACCCATCATCAGCTGTTATGTTAATATCACCACCTAGTGATACAAGAGAAAGTAGACCTATGTCTCAATATTTACTTATTCATCACAAGTTTTGAAATCTGTGTACAGTATCATCATGCTCCAATCAATTGCTTATTCTCCAAGTTACAGACTATCCAAGCACTTTGCCTTTGGTTTCCCTGTTTTGAAATATTTTATGAATTGCTACAGCCTTACTAAGAAAGGGAAGTGTCTGCTCATTGAATTTGCTTACATTAACAAGGCAGTATGAACAGTAATTACTTGTTACTAGTAAATCTATGCCAGAACCCTATGTACTAAATTCAATGGCTTCATGGTAGTTAATGTAGACGTGGGAAATATACACATTTCCAAATATATATCTTTCCAAATGTTATTGAATTGTAATTCCCATCCAGCCAGTGGGAAGAAAGATGGAAATTACAGGAAATAATCCCTTTCCCTACTCTGTCCGGTTTATCCATAGTTTGATGTTTCTAACTACACTTATCGTGCTTTTATTGTGACTATGATAGATAAAAAACAAATAAACTTTAGTAGGCCTTGCCTGTGTTCTTATAAAAGCCATACAATCTGATACTGATTTCTTTAATACCCACTGCAACTTCCAAAAACATAGAAAAGTAGTGGATTTAAGTAAATCTGAGTTAGGCAGCTATGTATTTTCAATTGTAAATCTTAAGAAAGATGTTCATAAACCATTTGAAAGTAGTGAGGAACTATTCTCCTGCTTGAGCAGGGGGCTGGACTATCAGACCTCCAAGGTCCCTTCCTATTCTATTCCTATTCCTATTCCTATTCCTATTCCTATTCTATTCTATTCTATTCTATTCTATTCTATTCTATTCTATTCTATTCTATTCTATTCTATTCTATTCTATTCTATTCTATTCCTATTCCTATTCCTATTCCTATTCTATTCTATTCTATTCTATTCTATTCTATTCTATTCTATTCTATTCTATTCCTATTCTACTCTACCCTTGTTACAGCCAAAGTTTCATACCTCTCGCAATACAAATATTGTTGTTAACATACCTTTATGAATTAAATATTCCAATACATCACAGTGCCCATATTCAGCAGCCACACCTAAAGGTGTTACTCCGTATCCATCTTTCTGTTGTACATTTCCACCATTCTTCGTAAGAAGGACAACAATATCACTGCGGCCCCGTTTTGCAGCTTCATGCATTGCTGACCATCGTTTAACACATGGTTGGTTGATGACACAGTTGTATTCAATCAGAATGGAAACCATTTCATATGATTTCTGTCTTACAGCTTAAGAATTATGACAAAGAAAAAAGAAGGGAAATGTTTAGATGTTATATATTTCAAAATAACCAACTGCAATTGCTGTACAAAATCTTGTGCTTTCACTGAATACAAATATATGATTTTAGCTTAGTGTCAACATTCAGCTCGAGAATCCAAATAAAACTCCAGTTCATTCTGTTTCCAAAAATCTTATTATTTATTGAATACATGGCATGACAATGTCAAAGCATAACTAACTCAGGTTCCCAGACACCAGTTCATAGAATTAAACAATAATTTCTCCGGCCAAACCCCTACTCTCTCTCATAGTCCATATAAGCAATTTCACTTTGTTATGGGAACCGTCTGCTTCTTCTCCACACCTGCTGTAGTGTCCTTGGAAAGGTTTCAGGCTGTCATGGTCTTTGGTGGAATCATAGAGATTTAATTTCTCCATCTAACCCACTCTAAAGCAACACCTCTCCCCTCTTACTCTAATGGCAAGTTGAAATGAAGAGACACATAGCTGCCAAAGTTTCATTCTTGACACTTAGTTTGTGATGCAGATCAAATTCAACCTGTTATTCAGATTTGTATTTGCATTTGGTTTTGATAATAATTAAAAATATTTTAGGATTAAGGATATTTCCCCTGCTTTATTTGCTGAAGAATGTACAACAAATATTCAACTTAATGGACCATTGGGGACAGCAGTTCAGATACTCTCTACTGGCTATTCATCCAAAAAGAATGACATCTATTATGTTATCATAACATATAAAAATCTTCTAAATCAAAATTTCATTGTAATTACAAACAAGAACGAGGGATTAAAAGATCATTCTGGGATTGGTGGCATGCAAACAAAAGAAATACATTATTTCCTATTGTGATCATTCTTATATCAATTAGCAACCTAAAAATGTAAAATGATGTCGCAGTTGGCGACTGCTGCTTGTGGATGGCTCTAGATTGAGCTGATACAGGCAAAAGAAAAGAAAAGAAAGAAGATTTCTTTCTCCCATATTTGGGCTGACAGGGTGTTCATTCAAGGTAAATATATATATTTAATAAATATATATATTAAATAAATATATATATAATTCCTTCAGCAGTTTTAGTGCATAAATTCTGTAAAAAATACAGGGGCCAAGAAGAATAATCTGAAAGTGAAAAAAATGAAACATAATTGAGCAACTGACAATAAGCTCTGCTACATTTCTATCCAAGTGGAAATCATCTCAAACGTATGTTCCCCTTCGTTGACTTCTCTTAGCACATCTTCCTCATCTGCTGAAGGCCTCCCCTGGTGCTATGCTATCAACACAAAGGGGAAATTAGGTCGTTGCTCAATTAGGTCGTTGCCCAGAAGCACAAGAATGACATGAAAGTTAGTCTACCCCTTCTGGCTATCAATGGAGGGAAGGGGAAAAAGCTCATTTACAAAGAGACCTAAGGAAGTAGTACATTAAAGAATTTACCATATATAAGATCAACTTGTATATATAAGCAAAGTTATAAAGGCAGGCTATGTGTAGTAAAGCTTAATGATCTGAACATCAGAAACTCATATGATTAAAGATTTGCATAATCAATTTCCAGGTTCTACAGTGTTCAACCTCTGATCCTACAAGCTCTAGCAACAAGCTAACCCCCCCAAAGCCATTTATAAAACAATTACCAATCAGAAGAGGTGTTTCTCCTTTTCTGTTCATGGTATTTGGCCAAACTCCCTTTGCCAACAAGGTCCTGACATTTTCCACGTGGCCAGATTTGGCTGCCAAAGTTAATGGTGTTTCTCCATCACATGTCTTATATTCCCACATACTTTTATAAGATGCTAGGTTGAATTAAACATAAATTAAGTTTATCAGTGCTGCAATTGTTATATACATATAATTGCTTTAGAAATGTTTAATAGATCATGTCCAGTCAAAATCTCATGACAGTACACTTGCACTGAATAGATACTTTTGCCACAATCTATACTGGCTAAATATAATTAGGTGGTAACACCAAATGAACCTTTATCACTGCAAGTACATAGATGTATCTGTGAACACACCTGAAGTGGAGCTCAAACTTAAACAAGCTTATTGGTGCACGTTCTGGAAACAACTTTGAATTCATTCAGCATCCTAGGTGAACTTTGACTGGACACAACTCTTTATTCTTCAAATGTATTGATTCTAGCTTCAAAGTCTGGGCCAACTTACCATCCAAGATTACTTCAAGTATTTGCTGAATTGGCTGAACAGCAGCTTCATGTAAAGGAAACCAGCCTCTCTCATCAGCTTCATCCAGAGCATATTTGTATTTCAAATAGTTTTGAAGATCAAAGACTAGTCCTAAAATAAATAATCTAAGGTGAAATGAAGCAAACATTTAGGACAGGCTACTGTTATCTTTAAAAAGACAAGAAAGGCTTGTAGTAAAGATTAACACATTTAGTAAAAGCACAAGCTTTTACTGATTAAATGTATGTGAGGTTTTGTTTTGCTCAGGTAGGAAATATAGACACCCATGAATATGTGGGAAAACAGTTGATCTGGTAGGCTAAATACAAAGAAATTTACAAACACAGTATTTGACAACTCACAATGCAAACAACTGTAAACAAAACAGGCCCCATGCCCTTTCAAACGATAATACAATTAACAATATCTTTTGGCACATATACCTTCTCTTATGGCAGCTACAAGTTTCCTGTTCTGATCACTCACAGGTACAAACCTATAGAAAAAAAAACATCTGTAGCATCTCACATTTTGGGTGCTATTGCTGTAATCTCATCAAACAAGCCTATTTTCTGCTTCTGCAACACTTGTTTCCTTCAAGTCAATCTCAAATTCTGGTGACTTCATGCACTCATCCACATAGTTTCTTCAGCAACAATCCAGCATTTTCTTCCAGTCTATCTTACAACCCTGGAATATTAAGGTGGTCCCCCAACCAAACGCTAATCAGGTCCAGCCTTGCTTAGCTTTTTCAAAACCAGCAAAACTAGATCCTATTATTTAGTTGTGTGTTGTTGTTTTAATAAGTGAATTGGAAAAACTGCATAAGTACTTCTAGTTAGAAGTGAATTTAATTGGAAGGATTACAATCTTTTTTTATGATCAGATTCAATGTTTCTCCAGCTCTCCTCTTATGTCTCATGTCTCCACAAATCAACTAAAATTGCCCACCTACATAAGTTACTTGTCCAATTTGAAGGCAAAGACGTGCAAATATAAGTTCTTCATGAACTTTCTGCTTTCAGAAACCTGATTTTTTTGAAAATCAATATTGAATCAGGAAACAAAAATGGTTCAATAAGAATGTTAACATTACACTCTTTTATTATTTATTAAAATATGTATTTTAAATAGATTAGCATCAGTGTAAGTCATCAAAGTAGTATAATAAACACATCTACAGGCTACCACAAGTTAAACTGCTGAAAAAGTAGGGAATAGCCTAATTATGTTCCCAACATTGGCCTTTAAAGCAATAAATGAAACACCACGTATGAAAAGGATGAGATACTCAGACTTTAAATCAGAGAAAATCAAAACAGGGTTTGGCCTACCACATTGCTTAGTTACCTTGTCTCATGATTGGGAGAAGTCCTTTGCTGATTCCGTTCAGTATTGAGGGACTCCTGGATACTAAACTGAATAGCATATTCAGTGAGATTTTCATTAGAGTCCTCATCTCCTTCCATTCTTTTTTTAGGTGCTAAGGAACTGATTCAAGCCATAAAAAGATGATGCTAAGTGAAAAATATGCCAAAACATGAGACAATCACAAGTTTATAATTATTACAAAGTTTAATTTCATTCTTCAAATTCAGTGTGAGAACTGCAGTACAAAAAAACAAAGCAAAACATATTATACTTTAGCATTCATTACATACATTCCATTTTGTCAAGCAGTCAGAAAGTTGCAAAGCACAGAATTTACTCAGAATTGGTTTCCTTTGAAAGGAAGAGAATGAAAGTTTATTATTCAGCAATATAAAGACTGACATCAGCGGATGCAAAATTTAAATTCACTGAACACTCTTCCTTTGCCAAAAGTTTAAAGCAGAGGTCTTTAAACTTGGCCCTCTTATGATTTGTGGACTTCAATTCCCAGAAATCCTCAGCTAGCATGCCTGGCTGAGGAATTCAAGGAGTTGAAGTCCACAAGTCATAAAAGGGCCAAGTTTTTTTTTTTATTGAAAAGTTTTATACAAGTTTTAAACAATACCCCCCCTAAAATAACCCCCTCCCTCCTTCCCCCCTCTCACTTCCCAGAGCTGGTTACAGGGTTACAAATAAACTCTAAATAAACTTATCCAACTATACAAATAATAAAATTGATAATATACTTTAACTCAAATACAAAAAAGGAAAAGAAATAACAATATAAGCATTTCCAAATTAAAAACTATAAATAATTCATAATCTGCATAAAGCATTTTAAACCTATATCATAACCCATATTTACTCTACATACAATTTATCCATCTTCACCTTGCTGAGGTGTATATTTCTTTTAAACAACCATTCATCCATAATAAACACAAAATTTTCCCTCCAATATAACCTAACCAATAAACTTACGTTTGATAAAATTGGCTCTTTGCTTTTTACCCCAAGAAAGTCTATTAATACCCTCCTACATAAAAAGTTTCAGCAAACCATTCATCTTCTAAAATTCTCACCAACAGAGATCATTAAAATTTTGAATTCTTTTACACATTTACCCATAATATCTCATAATTATTTTTCACTTTAAATTAAGAATTTAGAATATATTTACTCCCAAATATTTAAACTTTTCCACTAAATCAACACCTTCTATTATTCTTTTAATTTACATCTACATACTACACAAATCATTCACTGTTCCTTTAAAACATACTCAATACAAATCATTCACTTTTCCTTTAAAACATCTTCTATCTCAAAAAACTACTACAAAAGTTCATCATTTCCTTTTCTTTATTCCAACATCCATCTTCTGCAGTTCTTTTAATTTACGTCTATAGGCTGCACGAATCATTCTCGGTTCCTTTAAAAAATCTTCTGTCTCAAGAGACTGCTGCAAAGGTTCAGCCTGTTTGTCTCCCACATCCAATAGCATAGCACTTTCAACCGGCTGCTCTTCCAACTTTTCTTCTATTATCTCAGGTCGTAAAGATAATGGAGAGCCCACCTTCAAAACCAAAATGTAAAAATCTTTCGCCTTTGACATTGTATTAAGTCTGTAATATATCCCCGCATAATTCAGGACTATTCCAACCGGTATATTCCATCTGAATCGAACCTGGCATTTTTTGGAACTCATCAACCAAAAAAGCAAAATCCTTTCTTTTTCTAAGAATTTTTGAAGGTATTTCTTTTAAAATTATAACATCTTGAGCTGCAATTTGAAATATCTGCTTATAAAAAGTCTGTAAAATTTCATTACGAAGTGATCTCCTAGAAAAATAGATAACCACGTCTCATGGCAAATTTCTCTGTCTCGCAACCCTAGAATTAACCCTAAAAACTTTTTCCGTCTCTCTCAATATTTCTTCAGGCTCAGCCCCCAAAATAAGAGCTATATCTTTTACCACCACTTGTCTCAAATCCTCTTGAATATTTTCCTTCATTCCCCTTGTTCTTAAAGCAAATTCCATGTTTTTGTATTGTAACATAGTAACTTCATCCTGTATTATTTCCACATTATTTTCCATTTTGTCAATTCGATCTTCCAGTTTTTCAAAATTTTCCACAACATCATCAATACGCTCATCCAGAAGATCTATATGACCAACAAACTTTTGAAACGCAAACGCTATGTCCTCTGTCAATTTCATGAATTTATTTTCAATAAAAACCTCCATCTCTTCTTTAATCTGTCATGCCTTTTTTCCCAAGGCATCCTGTAAATCTTTAAGTATACATGCTGGAGACAACGGAGAAGATGGTGGAAACTTAGCTTGCTGAGCTGTCTGCATTACCGGGAAGATCAAGGCTTTAGAAGCAACAGAAGCTCCGAGACGCTTTGAAGCCATTTTATTTTTAAGACCACTTATAAAAAGTCTGCTAAAATCTTATAAAATCAACAAATACTCTCCCCCCCCCCCCAAAAAAAAAGAAAAAAGGAGAAGGGGAAAAAAGACAAAAGCCCCTTAAAAGAAAAAAAGAAAATTCTTGCAATTTATACAAATACAAAATCTGTTACATTGTTCCAAATAGAAGTTCCGGTCCTTTCACTCAATGAATCAATATCTCAGTGCCATTTTTCACCACTCTTAATTAAAAGAAGGAGAAGATAAGTTCTTTTCCACAGTTAAAGTCCGAAATAATCCCCATTTTATTCTCTCCTTGTCAGCTGTCTGCTTTAAAATTTACTCACAAGTTCATTTTAAGCGCAGATGTGGAAGCAGGTTCTAGCTTTGCCCTGGAAAAATCAGGGCAAAGGCATCCTGGAATGTGGAGAACACCCCAGACTCCGTGGGAGCTCACCCTGACTACCAAAAAAAGAAAACTTTGGGGCTCAGGGAGCTCTACCACTATCTGAGGAAAGCTCACCTCCTCCCCTTCGCCCGGGGAGAGAGGTTCCAAGCCGCGAGACAGCTGTTGCTTGCTGTCTCAGCTGGCTTTGACACATCCCAGGGCGGACGGCTGAAGAAAGCCGCCATCGCCACGGCCGTCACCACCGGAAGTCATAAAAGGGCCAAGTTTGAAGCCCCCTGGCTTAAAGCAATGCTTCTCTAACTTTCTGCAATTAATTGCAGCTGTTTGGAAAATGTGAGGACTTCCATATTTTTTTTAATTATTCTGTCTTAATTATTTTTATGACCTCAAGGAGGTGAACATATCTAATACTCTGTCTTCTTGCTATTTTCCCCACAACAACCATCCTGCAAAGTGAATTAGGCTGTGAGAGAGAGATTGGTCCAAAGTCATCCAAATGGTTTTGATGCTTAAGTGGAATTAGAATTCACAGTTTCCTGGTTGCTCTCTTGTGCTATAACCACTTTACTAAACTGGATCTCTTTTATATGCTTTTGTTTTTAACAATCTGAGCGTTAAGTGTTTTTCAGTAAATAACAATTAGAGTTTCATCTGTGTAAGGTAGTCCTTGTTTAACAATCCTAATTGGGACTGGAATATCCATTGCTACATGAAGCAGTGGTCATGTAACCAAACTGCTTAGCAATGGCAGTTTGGTATTCCCAGGTGTGGTTGGTAGGCAAAGATGCACTTCTATGCAAATTGCCTACTCTATCCAGCTGCCTCCTCTCCAGCCGGGCCTGGCAAACTCTGTTTGGCAGACCAGGTTTCACCACCCTGCCATGCTCGCCTGCACTTCCAACTCCCCCCCCCCCCTGCTGCCTATCTCAGTCCTTTTGGACACCCTGCACTCTGCTTCTCCACTTCCAGCTGACTTTCACCATCTTCTTCCTCCTACTGCTGACAAGGCACACCTGGACGAGGCAGCTACTGGCTCTTCATGAGGACTCAGTATTGTGAAGGGTCAGCAGCTGCCCCAGCCAGACACATCTTGTCAGCAGCAGAAGAGAGAGGATCAGCTGGGGCAACAGAGAGGTGGCAGGGACAGCAGAATGCAGGGTGGCAGGGACACAGGAGTACAGGACAGTTGAAAGGCAGTAGAGAGATAAGTGTGTGTGGGGAGTTGAAACACACACAGCAATATCTTCAAATGGTTGTTGAACAAATGGTTGCTAAGTGAGGACTACCTGCAGACTTCCTCATCCCTTCCATTTTTAAAAGCATTTTAAAGCTAAATTTGGTTCTAACATTTTGAAGTCCACACTTATCTCTTTATTTGCCCCGATTTGTTTTTGTTTTGTCTTGTGTTGCAGTAATCATTGTTAGCAGAAATGTGATAGAAATCTCAAAGGGTGAAGGGTTGAAAATAAGTGGTTCTATCTCATTTTTCATTGTCACATTTCCTACTGATATTGTCCTTTCTTTTTGGATTGTTTATACAAAATCACTATTCAAACTAGTATGGTGCATATGGACTCATAGTCAGCAACCGCACTTGTCAGTTTTCTGAATTTTACTAATCCTATTGCTACTTGTCTTATCACTAGAATGCTTTGGCAAATCATTTGTCAGCCCCCATTTATCAGCATGGTCCATGTGTGAACTTGCTAACCAGCACTAAGTTTAGGGAGGCAGGTATTGTGGCAGAAAGCAAGTTCTGAATTGGCCTAGTGAAGAACTAGGTGGACCTCCATATATCACCAATTATCTGTGGACTACAGTTTGAAAATCACTAGTCTAGGGAGACAGTATGTCCATAGAACCCAATCTCAGATTTTTGTTTTCTATCTCGCCTGAACCATAGTGTGTTCTTTCAGTAACTTCCTGGTTAAAACTGTCAGGGGGTGAGAGAGATTTGGAAAGTCATCTGCTTTGACTGTTACCTAGTTTTCTCTGCTCCCATTGATACACATCACCAGAAAAACCACAACCTATCAACACATGTGTTACTACCTCAGAACAATCCACATTTATAACCCTGTTCACAAAAATTGACAGCAAATTCATTATGATTTAATTTTTATTTTCATGTGAAAATAAAACTGAAATTACTGTCACTGACTTATATTCCTTATAAAACTAAACTGAAGCATTTCAAAGTACACAGATTTTACTAAAAGTGGATATATTGAGAAATTATTCACATCCAGGAATGGTGATTGCTTGGTATTTAAAAAGGATTTTATTTGTACCAAAGCTTGCTTAAAATCAAATTCCTTATATCTTAGTTAGGCATGGATTAAATATTTACTTTTACTCTGTCTTTATTTACTCTGCCTTATTAGATTTATAAATAATTTTTGATGATTTAACACATTAACAATGTATGCATATCAAGTTCTCCCTAATAACAAAGGGAGTAACTACACAGACATAAATTATTCACAACAAAACAATCTGTCATTATTTCCAATCTCTGTCTGAATTTATTCATAGCATAATATTTCTTGTTTTAAGTTAACTGTACTATATTAAATGACAATCTATAAAGGGAAAAAAACTTACCTTTCAAAAGTTTGTCATTGTTTTATTGGCCACTGAATTTCAAACATATAGAGACATAGGCCTTCAGAGCGGCTGGATCATGTGGTATTTCTAAAATTAAATACGTCCTTGATAGTTAAATTAAGGTTTGACCTCAGACAACTGAAATACAAGCAGCCTACAGGAAAATATGACACACGATTATTCCAAAGTCTCATCAAAGGTTATCTGAAGTCTAACAGATATAATAAAACTATTTGCCTCATGATAGGCAACATCTCGATGGTCATTAACCAGAACAACCAATGTTTAATGTTATTACTCTGCTGCAGCATGTAGTAGCTTAGCATTTTATGCAAATCTAACCACTTCGGATTTTACTATACTGTCAATTGTGGCTTAGTAAAAAACATGGCTAAATAAATCATGGCAGACTTCAATATGTAAAACGAAAGTTTGCACAATATAGAATTGCAGGTTACCAGGTTATGACTTAGTATATTATATGAATCAGCTGGTATGGTAAATTTGTGTTCAGTATTGTGAGAACTGAGACCTGGAGTCAGTCAAAAAGTTAACCATGGGTTCTAACTCAATACAATCCTGCAGTGAAAAATAGCATCCCTTCCCTTAGGTAAATGGAACAGTTGGAAAGAGCTGCAAATTAAATAAATAATATTAATAAAAAATGAATGCCACTGGAGAAAAATGAAAGGAGTTGGATATATGTAAAATAACAATTTATCTTCCGCAGTGGAAGTTGCTCTACAATGTATGATATAAAAGCAATCATAAGAACAGTTAAAATGTTCTTTACAATTTTAAGCAGCTAAGTCATCCAGCATTTTATCCCATAGTGGCTCACCTGGTGTTTAAAAGAAGATGCAGGCATGATAGAAGCATAGTAGCACATTTACAAATTTTAAGCCAATGACTATCAGTAGAACCAATCACAGGAGTATAGTTAAGAGGTTGACAAGGGCACCACTATTTGAATTCCTGGAGATAATATTGAAGGGTTCTGTAACTGGAACAAAGGAAAATTGTTTAGTTTAACTGTTGCTTTCTTGCTTTCTGTAATCAGCTTTTGCACCAGGGAAATCTCATGCAAGCATGGGAAACATGTACATGGATGGGATATACAGAAGGAAGGAATAAGGGAGTGTACAGGAATGATTGATGTCTTCCTTATGATGTAATGGCTCTGTTGTCTGATTTTCATTGGCTAACAAAGTTTATAAAACAATGCTACTAACTTTCTAAGGTGTGGCACTTCTGGACATAACTCTGCCAGTGTTCCAGCACTGGAATTCCTTAGAAGACTCCCATCTGTATACTAAACAGGCCTAACCCTGCTTACCTTCCAGACAAACATGGCCAAGTAGATGGTGCCATCTGCTGAGATTCTTCAGGAAGAATATTCTTTTTGTAAAAGAAAAAAATACTTGTTAAGAAGCAGGGCATAGAGATAATACTGCCAGCTATATTCTCTCTCCCTCCTTCCCTTTCTCTCTCTCCCTCCCCTTCCTCTCCCTCCCTCCCTCTTTCCTCTCCCTCCCTCTCTTTCCTCTCTCTCTCTCTCTCTCTCCCTCCCTCCCCCTCTTTCTGTTCTAGCAAGCAGGCAAAGACAAACCACTTCTGAAATCCTGCAAAGAAAACCACAGGGATTTGTCTAGGACCTAGGTCACAGGTCGGCAACCTGTGGCTCTGGAGCCACATGTGGCTCTTTTAGCCTTCCCCTGCGGCTCCCAGCCTCCTTTGCCATCTCTCCCTCTCCCCCCCATCTCTCTCTCGGGAGAGGAAAGAGGGAGGGAGAGAGGAAAGAGAGAGACAGAGAGACCCTTTTGACATCTAAAATGAAGATAACACTGCATATATCCTTTTTTACCTTTATTTTATATATACACACACAAACATATATACATACATACATACATGGTAAAAAAGGATATATGCAGTGTTATCTTCATTTTAGATATCAAAAGGGTTTTGTGGCTCCCAGTGTTTTGTTTTCGGTGGGAAACGGGTGTTTTGGGTTACCTACCCCTGACCTAGGTAATCACCAGGAGACTAGAAAGCAGTTTTAAAAAATCCTCAGAATTTACCAATATGGACGGGTTTCGGGTTTTAAAATTAATAACAATAAGACTAAAATATTATCTAAAAACATGACTAATTTGGATAAGCAGATTCTGGTTAATCTGACAGACTTTGAAGTTGTTGATAAGATAAAATATCTGGGGGTTACCCTATCTGTTTCTAATGTAAAATTGTACAAAAACAATTATGAAAGGCTGTGGGTCAGGGTACAAAAAGATTTGAAAAATTGGGAGAAGTTACAGTTATCTTTTATGGGAAGAATTGCAGTGATTAAAATGAATGTCCTGCCAAAATTTCTCTTTTTATTTCAAATGTTACCTATTTTAAGGAATGAGGTTAATTTAAATGAATGGCAGAAAGGTATCAACAAATTTATTTGGGCAGGGAAAAAACCAAGGGTAAAGCTTAAAATTCTGCAAGACTTCCGTGAGAGAGGTGGACTCAAGGTACCGAATCTGAAATTATATTATGATGCTGTGGCTTTAACACTAATTAGTGATTGGGTTGATTTAACAAATGTAGAAATACTCCATTTGGAGGGTTGGGATTTACTTTTTGGATGGCATGCCTATCTAATTTTTAATAAAAATGTGGATCGGATTTTTAAATCTCATATTATAAGGATTTCTTTACTTCGGGTTTGGAGGAAATATTATAAAAGTGAGTTTAAAATACCATTATGGGCTATACCTTGGCATGCGATAGAGGGGATAAGAAGAGGAATTAAGATGGATAGTGTTTCTTATGTGCAATTACTCAGGTGGGATGGTAAAAATTGGCAGTTAAAATCTTTGGAAGATTTAGCACATGAAAATAATATATATTCATGGTTTCAGTATAGACAAATAGCTGATAGATGGAAGATAGATCGTAATGTGGGTCTGCTCAGAGAAGATGAAAATCTCTTTAAACAAGTAAAAGATCAAAGGCGAACTCACATTAAGAGAATTTATGGGGTGCTAGTAGAACTGGACTCAGAATCAGAACTAATTAAAGAATGTATGATTAAATGGGCACAAAATTTTGGTGAACCAGTTCTACTAGATACATGGGAAACCATCTGGGTGAGGAATGTTAAATTTACACAAGCCCAGAACTTAAGGGAGAATTTTTACAAAATGGTTTACAGATGGCACCTTGATCCACAAAAAATGTCTCGTATGTATCCTGATTTACAGCCTAAATGTTGGAGATGTGGTTGTTTGGATGCTACTTATTATCATATTTGGTGGTCGTGTAAAAATATAAAAGTTTTTTGGATTAAGATATGGTGGAATATTCAAAGAATTTTTAGAAAGAGGGTAAAATTTACCCCACAATTGTTTTTGTTAGGTATTGTTACTGATTGTGATGCTAAGGAAGTTATATTGATGTTAAATTTGATTACGGCCGCTAGGCTGTTAGTAGGGCAATATTGGAAGAAGGAATCTTTGCCTACCTTGCAAGAGTGGTTTTTTAAAGTTTCTTATTTGGCGGAAATGGCAAAGATTTCGGCTTTCTTAAAGGAGCAATCGCAAGAGAAACTCTTTGCGGTATGGGAAAAATGGATAAATTTCATACAATATAAATTGGATATAAAAAAATATCATTTAGCTTTCTAGTAACTTGTATATAAACTTTAATATTTTATAGATTGTACTTTTTATATCTCTTTTCTTCTTTCTCTTTTCTTTTTTTATTATTTCTTTTTCTTTCAAGTACTTTTCCTTTTTAATACGTATGTTTTTTTTACATATATTTTATTGTTAATTACTTTATAAATTGTTTATGTAAGGTATTTAGATATATTTATGATTTATACTTTTTCAATTTTTTTAAGATTCTTAAAAATTTTAATTAAGCCTATATTCAGCTCTGGGAAGGTCGGGGGGGGGGGATGGAGAGGCAGGGTTGGGGTGGGTGGGTTAGGGTTGGTTTTTTTTGCTTTTTGTAAAAATAGCTAAAAATTTTCAATAAAAAAAAAAAATCCTCAGAACTGGGCTGCAAAAATCCTTTGCTCCACCACGGGAGTGGAAAGATTAAATTTATTGTTTTCTCATGACTGTTCAAATAGGTGAAGCGCAGACTGAGATTCGTAATCTTCTAGTAAAATCAGTTATTATTCGCAAAAGCTTATAATAACATTGTCAACCTTTATCAAATTTATTGTAATGTTGTTGCAGAATCGTTAACGCAATCCATGCAAATAAAAATCACTTTTTGTTTTAATTCACTCTCGTGATACAACATCAATTGCCCAGCCTTTTAAAATGATTACCACTCAATATTATTGACAACGATGGTAACTTTGCTTCCTAATAAAAGCACATTAACCAATCTCCAAGAAGGACCGATCTTCTCAATTTTAAGATGCGTGGACTTCAACTCCCAGAATTCCTCAGGATGTACTCCACTAGAATCAATATCACTTCCTACTCAGCACAACTCTGAAAGCGCTGACCAATCAGCAGTTCCCCAACAAAAGCAAACACAAGCCCTCCTGTCAGCCCCGCCCCAACACGTTCTCCAACGCACGGTCGATGGGCGGTGCAACCCCGCCTCAGCTCTGAGTGACGTTCCCTCAGAATGTGCGGCGAGCATAAATCGAGAACCAACCCACTTCTCCGTTATGTTTCGTTCGCTTCCTGTTGCCAATGTGGTCGGAGCGCATGCGCTTTGCGCTGTCCTAGAAGTTGCCCTCTGTCTACGCGAGTTAGAAGACCTTTCAGCTTTCCTCGATGCTGGCGATGGAGTGAAACGATTTCATGATCTTTTTTGCTCCTATTCCTTAATATAGTGGCAATGGCGGGAGTCCTGAAAAAGGTGAGAGTCGAGAGGACACGGGGAAGGACTCGCAGATACGTTAGCCAACATTTATAGTTCTCAGCCTTCTTGGCTAAAACTAGGGGACGCGCATCTTCATGCGCCAGTATCTTAGAAGAGATAAGGAATCGCTGGTCTCCGCAGAAACATCCTACCGCAGATTTTTTTCCCTTCAGTATCTAGGCTTTGGAGTGCTGTCCTCAAATTAGATTTTGCTAACTTGATGCCCTCCTAATTGCCAGCTAAGCATTGTCCTGCTGAGCAACATGGGAGAGGCATCTTCTCTTAAGGGGGCTGTAGTGATGGTGATTAGGTTTGACTCCTTTCTTAAGCATGGAAGTTCTCTGGGAGACTTTGGGCCAGTTGTTTTCTCAGCCCAATCTATTTTACAGGATTGTGGTTGTGGAATGTATGCCAGCAGGAAAAATATATGCCAATTTCATAAATGTCTGCTCTGGCAGTTTGCTGTCAAAGCAGGTTCCTTTCCATCCTTTATCAAACTTTTAGCCTTTACTCCCAGGTAAGTTTGATCAGATAATTGTTTGATAATGATGATGTTATTCATTCAGTGGTGTTGGACTCTTGGCAAGTCTATAGTCCAGGTCTATTCACATCTTCTGATCTTTCACTATGTGTTATTCTATGCTCTGACTGGTATCAACTTTGATGAGTTCTTGTTTATCAGTTATAAGTGTGAACTGCAATTTGGTCATTAAATGAAGCAGTTGCTTAGTGAAACTGACTGTGCTTATGGCTTTACTTTAGCTTTCTTTTGCTTTACAGACCTGTGAAGGTCACAAATGGACTGGTTGTAAAGTTAGTTTTTCATTGTTGCTAAATGGGGCACCATTAAAGGAGTACCTGTACAAGAATGAAGCTGGTTCATGAAGAAATATTTTTATTCACTTGTCTTGCCTTAAAGGAATGGAGAATATATTAAGTCTATTATTGCATCTTATTTTGATTGGCCATACTCCTGTAAATGGTGTAGTTTTCACAATTGTGCTGAACCATGTTCTATTTGCATGTTTTTGTTATTGATACAATACAAATCTGAAAAGAAATTTTCTTTGTGTGCACATGGAAGTGCAAACACATTGAGATTACTTTTTTTAATCTGTTATTTGCACCCAGTGTCATTTTTCTATTCACTTGTCAATTATTTTATTGGTTCACAGGTACATCCCTTACCTCATGCTCAAAGAAAGAGAAATATGTGGCCTATAAAAATGTCCAGTGGCTACATCACCTTATATCTATTCCTTTAGGCACAGTGGATTCTTCCTTCATATGACGGATCCTAGTCCACATGGAATCCAGACCTTTATGCTACATGTCTATAGCCACTCCCTGTAATCTCATTAAAACCTCCAGATAACTGTTTCTTATGGACATACTGTAGAAAGTAGTTAATCCACATGACTCTCTAAGCATCCCATGATTTTTATTGTTTGGTCCATACTGGTTTGCTAATATGTTGGCTTTATTTCTAGCTGATATTTTTCTGAAAGGGAAAAAGATAAATTGTTTTTAGTTTGTTAAAAATGTGCTTAGTTTTTTTAGACATGCAGTTCGTTAAATTAATCTGATGTGACCATAATTTCAGATCTATTTTGGAGTTATGTGATTAAGATGAACCAACAGATAAAATTATAGAGGTATTTTCACACTTTTGGTTTAAATCGATTTTTGCTTAGTACTCAAAAAATATCATCTTTTCTCTCAAACACCTGGCATAAGTTTTGGACTTCTGTTGATACGTTTTATTTTTCTTTTATCTGTGTTCTGTTGTCTTGCTTCTTGTTTTTTTTAAAAAATATACTTCATAAGTTCTGGAGAACTTGAAGGTATGTATATAATATCCATAAATGTTTTACAAATGCTGATTTATCCATATGCAAATTAAATGATTATTCAGATAAGTAAATTTGATTTCTTGATTTAGACTGCTGCTCAACTTAATATATGTTTCTTCATACCTACAGACTACTGGGCTTGTGGGATTAGCTGTATATAACAATCCACATGAAGTAAGTGTAAGATACTTTGCCATGTACCAATAAAGGAGAATATTTGTAGCTCAGGTTGAAGCCCACTTTGTTTCAATGTTTCAATGAAGTGATAAAGCTATTTTGTTGGGTCTGGACTTCTATTGGAATTACCTTTCCTGTAAAGTCAGTTGATTTTATTCCTAATGGTGTTCTCTTATCCAGTCACATTAGATGTTTAGGATATCTTAGAATTGTTAATTTAAGTATAAATTGTATCTGAAGGATGAGGGATGAATTTCCTTGATTTGGTTGACCAGATAAAAAAGAATGCACAAGAAAAGATATGGTATAATTGTACTAAAACATTCAATAGGTAAGAAAGGTAGACATTTGATTTGGAAAGTTCTTATAGACAATCAAATGTTAGAAAAGCAAATACGTGACTGAATTAACACTTTTGGATTTATGAAAATAAAACCTTTGCGGAAAGCAGTTCCTTAATTCTAAATGTGCCTTGAGTTTAGGATTGCCATAACTTCACTAGAAAGTTATGTGGAAGAATTCTTCTTCTGAGGACAGTCATTGAATCATTTTTCTTGTTTTAATTTGCAGTACATTAAAATCTTGCAGTAGCTTACATTCAATGTATTCATTTTGCCTGACTTAAAATTACTCTTTGTCATGTGATCTTTTCAGCGCCTCAAGATACTATACACAAAAATTCTGGGTATTTTAGAGACTATGCCTCAGGATGCAGCATACAGGAAATATACAGAGAAACTTACAAATGAACGGTTTGATATAGTGAAAGCAGTAAGTATAAGTTGAATTAATTGACATTTTGGGGTCAAGTTGCATTTATCAAATGATAATTTTTGATACTGTTATTTAGATCTCTTTCTTAATTACAATTTATATTAATAATTCAGTTAACTAGGCTTCTTAATGATCAGGTAGGATTTAAGTTCTCAATTTCTGTAAGAAAACAAGCTTTTTCCCCCAGATAATCACACATGAATTTCCCAATGAAAACAGAATAAATGATTGAAAACAGAAGTATGGGTAGGGGGCCCATATGATTGCAGATAGTCTTATGGGTAACAGTCTGAAAATTGGCTATTATTAATCCCTTATCCCTTCTCCATCATATTTCCCCTTCCTTTTCATGAAAAGGATGAAAAAATTGAACATATATGCATATATTTGTATGCTTTTCTGTAAGAATGGATTGTGTGAGATAATGCCTAGTATACAGGGGAGAAAATAATTGCACCTTATTTAAATTACTCTATCTCCCTTTTTGGTTTTTCTTTTTCCTTTTATAGAGCTTCTTGTATATATGGATGTGTGGCATGAGTTCACATTTTTTGATGAGGGGGAAATTTCCAGGATTTATTTCAGCTGGAATAAGCAAACTGGGATTGACAAGGGAATATTTGATATTATGCAAAAATGTTATATGGATTTGTGTGTGTGTGTGTGTGTCCATTTGATGGGAAACGTCTTTTTCAAAGGAACTTGACTCTTAGTGACTTGATGTATGTGCCCATGTAATCTTAGTGTAGTTATAATTCTGATATTAATAGTTTCCCCCTTCAAATACTAGCCTCACTGACATAGCTTTCAGACTCGAAAGGTGACATTCTTAAATTCAGAGTCAACCTCACTGCAGCAAATACAGGGTTTTTTTTGCAAAGAGATATGTACTTGATGAATACTTTATTTCCAGCAAGCACAGTCAATCCTAAACATTAACTATTTCATTATTGTTTATGAATCTTATTCCAGCAACTATAGGATAGCAACATGAATTCTATATCCATCTTGCATTGCTTCAATGAATTTGGTTGCATAACTTGAGTTATTTAGAAATAGCTGAATATTCCCACAAAAATAAAGCAAAAATCAAAACATGGAACTATGGTAATATATAACAATTATAATTTAACAACAACTCCAGATCAGAAATACAGGATCAAAAACCTGCACTTCTGTTGAGTTATTGTACTATAGGTTTTTTTTTCCTATTGAGTAAGTTAAATAGCAATAACAGTAATTTAATTTTTAAAAAATGAAGTCACATGTCTTAAAGTGGCCGAGGTTGAGAAAAATTGAGATAGAGGAATATACTGCACCAGAGTTTCTCATTTATTTTTGAACTTACTTGCAGGAACCTGATGTGCGAAAGCTGGAAAACAAATTAAACGCTGGACAGATAGAAGAAGTGATTCTGCAGGTATTTAGCAATGATTTTAGTATATCAGGTATAGAAAATGTCCACTAAACTGAATTTGTAAACTTAGCAGTGTGGCATGTAAATTCTTTTTTCCTATACAAACTGTCCGGTAAGAATCAATGTCAATCAAAATCCTTGTTTTAAACAAGCAATTTAATTAAATTATTTATTCAAAAGATATAGCCATCCATCTTTCAGCCAACTCTGGGCAGCTTCCAAACAAAGATTAAAAAAACATATAAAATCATTTTAAAATGATTTTAAAACTATAAAATGCAACTAGTTAAAACATAAAACTTTAAAAACAATAAAAACTTGGCACCAATCCATGTTAACCTTTATAATGAGGAGATTTGGTATTTTAAGTTCTCTTTTAAAGTGATTTGGGAAAGTAACTCTTATCAACATGTATGCAAATTAGTTTTGAGAGTGCCATCTTTCAGAGAGTTTTAAGTAAATAAAAAAAATAAAATCTATATTTTGTCAACAGGCTGAAAATGAATTTTCCTTAGCCAAGAAAATGTTGAAATACCGTCCTTGGGAACCTTTAGTTGAAGAACCTCCAGAAAACCAGTGGAAATGGCCAGTGTAATTAACAGTGTTTCAACCTTCAGAGGAAACAGAATTATTTCATTAAATGTATGCTGGACATGATTGAAATTGTGTTAATGCTATTTATCAAAACTTTGTCTCAATATAAAATGGAGGGTCACTACATTCATGACACCGTAAGAAATGTTTTTCAGAGTAATGTCATTCTTTGAATAGCTACATATATAAATATCCCTGTACTTTCTTTTCCCCTGTTGCACCAAATTCATACTCTTAATTAAGTGGTAGAACAAAGTTTAGAAAGAATACAAAGAGTCTCCTGAACTCTTCTGCTAAAATACTGTGAAAATATACATTTATCCATTCAGAATAAGGGACAGTAAAATAGTTTATATTAAGAGTCCAGTACCAAAAATATATTATCTACACTAGGTCCTAACTGTATATTCAAAGGGGAAAATAAGTAAATTATATGTTACTTTATTGTTATGCTGTTTATGAATTTGTTCTTGCAGCATTCTTGAGAGAAATGCTACATGGATTCTTGCATTATTCTTGTATGCTTTGTATATTACATCCATACATATACTCTCATGCGCTAGCTTTATCAAAACTTTTCCAGCTTGCCAGATACATATACATGAAAGAAAATTAAAATCTCAAAATTTTCAAAGGGTTGCAATGAGATTACTAGATCTGTTTTAGTCTGCTGCTCTGAAAAGACCAGGAATATGTTTGAATGTGTGCCTATATTATTTATCAAATTCACATAGTATGCTGAAATATTTAATACCGGTATGTTTCTGAAGGTAACAGAAATTTTTATTTTCTGTAAACTTCCCTCTATTTTTTCATCTTGAACAGTATGGAGAAAGTGTGTTTCAGAACTAATCCCGTTATCTCAGATTATGGTTTCAACAATCTTTAGTTCTCACTGTTAAACAAACCCTGAGCCAATGATGATTGTAGGCAAGCAAATAGAGAGCAATTGCAGATTGAAGTAAAAATAGCAAAATAGACAAGGAAACTAATGTGCTGATATTTGATCCAATTAGAATTAGTTTTTGCACATTTATAATCTTTAAAATCTATGTGGTCACTAAGAGGCAACAACTTTATGGCATATAAGCAGTGATCTCTAGATATATTAGTATATTCTGTAAAGTACTGTCATTGTAATAACTATAGATTTGGTTTGGTGGGATTAATTGCTAAATCAAGTCCACTCAATTATGTGTGTGGTTTTTTAAAGTGTGTCTTAGCAAGCCACAAGAGGGCTCTGTATATAGTGAATGCTGCATTCTTTTCAGGATGTGAGTTAAAGGGGAGAATTCAGCTCTGAGGAGCATTTAACATCACTACTAGTCAGAAGCAAATGTATTTGCCAGCTGTAAATTTACAACTGCATAGAATTTTATTGTTAAATAGGACTAGCTTTTATTTAGGTATAGCTGGCATGTTATTTTTATTGCTTCACTTGAAAATAGTTGGTATTACGATTGTATTTTTTATCACTATATTAAACTTTTGGAGTGTTTTTAGTGTATTTTCTGCAAATTAAATAAGCTGCTAAGAATACCAGACATTAACCAAATTGCTGTTACCTGTCATATTTGTACATTTTAAAACCATGTATTGTCATGCATGACAAACACATTTGTTAAAAATGCCCTCAAGTTTAGTGTCCTTGAAAATGATTCACCAGGGTTTTTTTTTAGAATATTTTAACTTTCCCACTCTAAACAAGTATAAAGTGGTTTCTTCACCCAAGTACTAATCCTGATCTGCCTTTGAGTCCAGTTGGCGAGGTCGTGGTACACTACCTTGTTCAAATACAGTGTCAATAAGATAATTTAATTAAAAAATGAATTCTTGAGAATCAACTCGGCTCTCTATAACAATGGAATGAGACTCTAAGCCAGCCTATAAGAGGTCGCGTGGCCTCATCGAACTTCAAAGGCAAGCTTTTTTCCAAAATCTTCAGGAACCCGAGTTCTCGCGAGACTCTTCAGTATCGTGGTTGCTATAGATACGTAATACTGTCTCTAGAGTTAAAGGTAAGCTACGGATCGCTCCGGGAAAACTTGCGTTGAGGTAAAACCCAGCTCGACTTTATTTTTATTTTATTTGATCAATAGAGGCTTTTAGAAAGTAGGTAGGCATTGAGACGGAATTATGCTTAAAAGAAATAGCGACAAAATAGCGTATAATTCTTTGAGCCCGGGACTATAATTCCCAACATGCTTTTCGTAGGGACGCGATTTATAACGCTCGACAGCGGCGCAAAGACTTCTGGGATGGTAGTCAGCCGATGAGAAGATGAGGACTTCCCCTCCCTCGAAAACTGTATGGGTTAGTGTGGCATTCTGGGAATTGTAGTATAAGTACCGGAGTGGCACCGGGAGAGGCGCAAGAAACGATACTTTCATTCTTGCAACGACTTGCATGAATGTAATATTAGTGCTTTGAGATCTCAATATTTTAACTGCATTATATTATCGTACACTTAGTTTTTTTCCGTCTTGTTTATGATTTTTATTTATAATTTTCTGTTTTTTTATTTCTTTTGTAGTCTGCCTGTTCTTTTTCCCCTTTTTGATTTACAGTTCTGCGATTAGTTTCTAAGAACTTTTTAAATAAGAGTTGAATTTGATTCGCTATTCTTGTTCTTACAGGTTGCATTTGTTTAAAACTTCAATAAAGATAATGTTATATTAAAAGAGAAAAACGCAATGCTCTTCTTTTCCTTCCTTTTTTTTTTCTGTATGAAAAAGTTGCCCATATTTGGATAGGACTACCAGAGATGGGAGTGCAAAAATGTGAACGTCCAGAGAGGTAGATTATTCTGTATGGCTCTCCTTCCTTCCTTCCTTCCTTCCTTCCTTCCTTCCTTCTTCCTTCCTTCCTTCCTTTCAAAAATACTTTTCCCATTGCAAGTGTAATTGGTGTGATATCTTTGTGATTACAGTATGGTGGGTACATAAATTTGCAGAAGTAATTGGCAACCATTCATTGATAACCCTAATAAGTCATTTGGGAGGAACAAAAGCACAACATAGTCAAAGTAAATGAATATAATCAATTGGACAGACAAAAACTTTTTAACGAGTCAAAAAGGAACAAAAGCCTTCTGTACCTGCCACCTGTTAGTAATCCAGATATGGTAGTTCTTTTTGAACTACTAGATTTTGAATGATATATAAGAAACCTTAGTAGTCAAGAGTGGAATGGTGTCTATTAGAATCCATTCTTTTAGTAGCCACTCAAAACAGAACATCTTCCTATATTTAAGACTAGAAGTATAATTGGACTAGTATATCCTTTTAGTTATGTATGTTGTTCCTTAAATGAGTATAACATCTTAAAAGATCAAAATAGGCTCACCTTTGAGTTAATAAAAGAACATGCAGAATGCATGTTGAGAGTAATGAGATGTGCCATCCATTTTCACATGACAAGATTGAAGAAATTGATTTGGGCACTGAACTGGCACTATAGGGGATCACTACCATACTTTTTTTTTACTTCTCAATCATATATCCATAGTCAACTTTGCAGCTCCCATTCTGAATTGCATTTCTGTACAATTCAAGACTGACAAATAATATTTAAAGCTTCATTAATGTTATTTCTATCATTATCACTTTCCTGTTACTAGACAATTTCTCTTGAATCTTGTTTAGGATTTTCAGACAAATATATTATACACTTTTTCAAGCTGTAGCAAAGATCATAATATTTAGCACTGTTTTGTTTTTTGCTTTTAAAAAAGGCACTTGCTCTTTGGAACATCATCCCCCTCCCAATTGGCGCTGAGCCTATTGGTCTTTCGGAAGCCCTTTAGACATGGCTTTGCCATGGGGCTGAGAAACTGGTAGAGATGTAGAACCTGTGAATTGGTTGTGTTGTCTGTCAGGTAGACAGAATTTTATGGTTTCATTTTTTTATTGTTTTACTGGTTTTAATGGATTTCTTGTTTTGCTTACTTATTTCTGTTTGTTTCTTATTTATTATTTTTACCTGAATTATTAAAAAAGGTAAACTGAGTCATGTATGTGAGATGGGCAGCTATATAAATTCAACAAACAAAAGGAAAAAAAATGAAACGAAACAGCATTAGTAAAAATGCTATCACGGTTTGTGGGAGAATGTATTACTGTAACCAATTCAAGCCATTTCTATATGACACTAGAATTCAAAGGAAATATTACTTTAAAATTTGAATTAATACAAATATTTTTATACAGTAGTGTCTACTTTTAGCATTTTGTGAAATTTGGCTGGGTTTTGATTATTTCTTTTATCATTAGAAATTCGTAATGCCCTATTGTCTCCTAAGAAATAAGATGAGTCAAGTGATGATAATTGGCATGATGTTTTTCTAAAATATTTCCTAATACCATAATATTTTCAGAGGTTTTTTTTAAAAAAATCCTCTTCAATTATTCACAATTAAAAATTAAGTAAAAAATGCTCTGCTACTGCCTTTCTAAAATGTACTAATGTTAATATAAGGATAGATGCTATTTATGAAAAATGGGTTTAAAAAAATTCAGTCTTTATACTGCAGAGTTTTACTTTTTATTTCTAATATAAAACAATGTTGGAGTTTCAAACAAGAAATGAGCAAGAAAGAAAACACATAAAGTTATAAATCAATGTTTTCAAAGCTAATAATCTCCAGAAAAGTTGAGCTCTTGGGAATGTTAGCTGGATATCATTTGCAGACCATTATATTTGGAAGGTAATACATTGCAAGCATTATCAGTTATATTTCAAGTGGTTAAAATGTGATATAAATGGCTTAAATATATTGACTTAAATGTACAAGTCTTTAGTTAAAATGGCAAAGTTCAGATATGTTGGGTCTGAAGGGTTTTTTTGGGGGGGGGTTTACAACTAATTTTATGGTCTGTCTAAGAGTACAAGGACAGTCAATTGAGACTGCATACTAACAATATGCTTAAATTTAAAATCTTGTTTCCTGTACATTTTGCTTTTTATGTTACTCCTTTTAGGCAAATGGCTGATTCAGAAAAAGAGGTAATTGATCTGGCTTAAGTAGATAATGAAAATCAAGCTATGGAAGACACTTCTACAGAAAAACAAACAGAAGAAATTACAGATGTTATAGATTCTAACAAGGAGCAGACAGATACAGTACCCTTGAATGAAACAGGTCTATCTGCAAAGCAGGAATACAACATAGATTCAGTAACACAAGAATTGGGTATTGCTGATGAACCAATGCAAGAGCAAGATGGTGCTATAGAACAAGAGCTGGATGCATTTGAGAACCTGAACATTAGTCAGGAACCTGTACAGGATGCAGATATTGCTGAGGAGCTGTTGCAGAGAATAGATCAAACCACAGCCAAGGAACCAGACAGAGAGGAAAAGCTAGTTGAGGATGTGGCTGCTGCTGAAGAATTGGCATTGGAGCTGGACAGCGCAGAAACAGAATTGGATGCAACACTCCAAGATTTTCCAAAAGATTTTGGTCATGAAATTAAACCAACTAGAATTGAGACAGATGCATCAACATCTGAAAGTACAGGTGCCAGTGAAGGTGTTTCTGAACAGTATCCTGTTTTGGCAGCTGTTGTTCCAGAAGACATAAACATGGCAAATTTGGCAGCTCAGCTTACAGAAATGATAAAAAATGCTATTGTAACAGGTATATATTATGTTCGATATGGCAGTTAGTCTTCCCCAACTCATCTTAAATTTCTCACTGTAAATTCAGGCAACTAGAGGCTGAACAACTTAGAGCAGGGGTGTCAAACTGTCGGCCCACGGGCTGGATGCATCATAGCAAAACCATGCCCACCCCATTGCCGACAGTGGCAAAAAAGTCGTGATACGCACGACACGTCACGTGATATTGCGAGTTTGACACCCCTGACTTAGAGAATACTAGTTTGGGAAAAGTGTTTATAAATAATTCTTCCTTTATATGCTCCACAGTTAATATTTCCCACGTCTCACTGTTTCATAATGACTGATTAATTCTCACTATTTTAATAACATTTTCTAAAAAGATGGACTATTGTAATACAGTATATCATGCTAGTGAAATACAGTATCAAATGCTTTGATACCATTTTATTCCAAGAAATTTGCTTTTCTTTCATCGTCTTTTTGTTCAAATAATAGCTTTAGACTTACCTGAAGTTGAGAGTGAATCACTGGGCCATGTCATCTAGTAATTCTAATGTCCGGTGACATTTAATTCCATATCTCTCTGCTCCTGTTCAAATATGTAACTAATCACTGCATATCCTTGTCAGCTTCATTAATATAAATAGTTTAGAACTACAGAAACTTCTTTTTAGCTATTGCAGTTGTTTACAGAAGACAGCTAATTCCATTTAGCTGGGAAAGAAGGTGGGTGAGTGATTTATTTTATTTGCTTCTATAGCTACTTACAACTTCAATCATTACAACTCTAAGGAGTTCTGATGTTGCTGCAAAATTTTTGGAGTCTCTCCAAGAGATAGTATGACAGCTTAAGAAATGCTTATTTTTCTGGACATTTATAGAGTAGCAATTTATCCAGAAGTCAATTTGCTCGAGGATACTTCAGGGATTATCTGTTTGATAGTTTCTATTCATCGTATTTAATCCAATAAAATAGGCATGTTCCAGGCCCCTTCTATGAAACAGTGTCATTTTATGAAACCCAGGAAGAAATATACATTCTCTGTTATGGTCATACTGAACAGCCTTTCCCGGAAGTTAGAACTGCCCTGATCTTGTTGGCCTTTCAGAAGTCTTGATTCTTTTCTCAGACCTTGGGGCCTGGATGTTAATGGGGCTTGGTCTATGTTTGGCTTGCACAAATGTTTACTTTGTATTTTCACTATTTTTGTCATTTTTCTATTTAATTTGGTTTTATACTTACCATCCAGAGCTGATTTGCAGGTGGGCATCATGTAACTGCATATTAAATAAATATTACTTAATTTTTGCCTTAACAAAAATGATTGATTTTAATTGTTTTGAAGACCCAAAAAAGAAAAAATGCACAAGCAAAATTTAATTCTTACTAATTGACTAGAAATAATGAAATTAATGAAGAACCATAAGAATGATTGATGTATTTGTTTTTCAGTTAAATTCATGCTGCATCCCGATATCCAGATTTTCACGAAGACTTTTAACATTAATCAAAATGTGGAGCAAATCAAACAGTACTTTGCAAAGCGATTAAAAATACCACTGGATGTTTTACAAATTAGGTTGCTAGGTTTGTATCAATATGAGGAGGTTTTGTGTTTTTTCATGTATATAAATATAGACAGGACTCCAAATATGGTTGCAGTGTTTAGAGAAGCAATTATTTGTTTGTTGAATAACTACAGAAATCCATGTGTACATAAAGAATATCCTTAAGTGAGTTTACAAAAATGCAACCACCAATTGGACATTGTTCAAACTCTAAAAGTGACTGAATATAATGTACTGAAAACTCCCCAAATTGTTATACACTCTGTTTTAACTGTATAATTATGTTGTCATTCACTCCCCATTCCTACTTACAGAGGCATAATTGTTTGAGAATCCCCAGACTATTTTACAGCAGGTATTTCTGGAAGAGGTAGAAAAGTAACTTAGTAATTTTTAAAGAAATTAAGTTGCTGCAATAGTATGTTGGAATCACCATGGGAGGGGGCGGTAGACAGATGCTGCATAGGGAACAATCAGATAAGAGAGGGCATCCTGCAGCTGCATAATGGGGAAAGAAACTCAGGATGGGCCCTCCCTAACGTTTCAGACTGTAAAAGAAATGTTGGGAGGTTTGTACTATCTGACTTGCAAAATTCTCTCTATGTAGCCTTATAATAAAATAGAATTAGCTCACCTGGTTGTGATTTCTGTCTGATCTACCTGAGAAGGTTGAACGTTGCCTTACACAGAATGGCATTCCTTACTCTTTTCTTGGGATTTGTCACATTCCTCAAATGATCAAAGAAACAAAGATAAGTGACCTCTTAATTCATTGTGAAACCTAATATTGATTTTTTTTTTTTAGAGAGAATAGTTGAAAATTATGAAACCCTCTGGAATCTTGGTGTACAACCTAATGGGACAATACAGTTTGATATGTACTCAGTAGACGATGAAAACTTTCCACTCAAAGCATACAAACTCCTGCAAGAATACTATATGCCTGATGTTATAACGGTTCAAGTTCAAACAGGTAAAGAACAATCAAATGTATAGTCTGATTAATTGCCCAGTGTTGGCTATAATTTAATAATGCTGTTTTATCTGAACAGAGCCAGACACTTTTCAGGATGTATGTATAGAAATTAAAAGACCAACATTCGAAAAACCATTCTTGGGTGGATTTAGACATAAGGAAACAGGCACAGAATATCATAATGCAGGATCACAGACAGATCCCAAAAAACGTCTAGACAAAGAATATGAAGAATTCTGTAGGTCAACACAGGTATGTTCAGAAAGAATGAAAACCTTGAGATATATGCAAGAAAAATTAATTTGGAAATTAAATCTATTTCTGTATATTAGAAATTAATAATTTAATTCTTTAATTTTATATATTTTATTGCATTCATAAATTAGCTTTTGATGAATTTAATTAATTTATACAGTGAATACAAAGTGTTCAGTAAGTCAGCCCAGATATGTTCATAAAAAATGAAGACCCTGAGATATGTGCTAGAAAAACTGATCTGGAAGTTAAATATGTTCCAGTCTATTAGAATAGGATAATTAAATAATTCCATTCTATAATTCTATATATTTGTTAATTTAATCCATTCATAAATTAATTTTTAATTCAGTTTAATTAATTTATACAAAAATGTTTAACCTTTTTAAAATTAATACTTTTATTTAATTCTAGACAGTGGTAGAAAGAAAGAAATTACAACAGACCATAAATACAACTTCTACACAAATGACAAAAATTGGTGTTTATGTGTCAAATGTCACTGATAAGCTTATAGAACCAAAGCCATATGTTACAGCTGAAGAATATCATGCACGAAGACTTAAGGCAGTAAGTAGACAGTCAACTGAATAATTATCATTAAAAAAGATTGCAGTTTTGCATACTTTCCTGGGATTAAAGCCCTTAATCTAAATTGGGTTTATATACTCAATGTATCAATCACATTCATATATCACTGATTCTACAAGGACTCCATTTTTATTGTCACTTGAAATATTCTTACAAATAGCTTAGCTCCAAATAAGACCAGGATTATTGCAAGCTAACTTTAATTAGTTAAGCAAGTTATATGCGTTGGTTAAAGGAACAGCATGCCTCCTACCTTCCCTCAGTTTGATGTACCATACTCCTGAGTGTTTTTGTCTATCTGTGTCTTTGTGATTGCAGTGTGTTTCAGGCATGTGAAACTTAACATGTGAAATTTGAATCTTGCATTTCAAAAGAAATTCAAATTCTTTTTAATATACATTTTTGTTTAATGAGAAATGAGAAGTAGAGAGCTACATTTGAAAGTATTTGTATATAGTACTGAAGTTATGGACAATTTTATTTATTTGTCAAAGAACATGGAAAGCCCAATTAAAGCAATTGATAGTTTTGTTTATATTCCCAGCAGAACATCTCAACCTTTCACTGATTCTTAAACTGGTTTATGAATTACTGGTACTTTAGGATTTATTTTCAGTACTCCATAAGATTAAAGTGATTAGAAAATGTTCAAAATCTTTTCTACAACATTATGATAGATTTAAATTTATTTCATATTTCCTGCCTCTGAAATATTTGTTTGTATTTCCTTTGTGTTAGTGAGGTACTTATTAGTTACGATGCTGCCATTTAGGATCTCTTATGTTGCAGATGTTGTACTTTAGCACAAGAGGCATTCACATATATAACAATGAACATTTCTTTCACCCTGCAATGGGGAACTGAACACAAAATATAATTTCATTGGAATATATAAAAAGATAGTTCAAATATACAAGCATTTCCAGTGTCCTCTCCTTAAGCCTGCAATTCTTCCACAAATTAAGTGTCACTGAACATAGTAGGGGTTTTACTAAAGATCAGATTGTAACAAAGTTTTCACAGAGTTGAGAATTTATTTTAATAAATGGCAGTGGTTTTTTCCCTACCATTTCACTAATCTAGTGACTGTCATGTTCTGGCTCAGGATGATGCCCAAATCAGAAGCAATTTGGGATAAACTTTAATTTACCCAAGTTGGGACTGGATCCATATCTTCTTGTTTTGGTTGAAAAATCTTCAGGGTTCTAGTCCGAAGTTAATAATTGGGTGAAACTATAGCAGCTATGCCAGAAAAGGGGAGGGCAATTGTTTTTTGTTTTTGTTTTACTGTTAATGTAGTTGTTTAATACATCTATTCTCAAATCGGAATGAGCTCTGCAGATTGTAAAAGAGTATAGTCTGAAAACTCAAAACTTATTTTTTACCTTATTTAGAAAATATTTTATGTAAAATTTATAGGCCTCCCATCTTACCTCAGGGTAATTCTAGGTGGCTTACAGTCATAAAAGGTAAAAATTATTTAAACTAAAAACATGAAGAAGTTAATACAAAAAGCCAAACACTGCAGCCCAATTAAAAGAAGGGGAGGTGGGAGCAGGATGGGGAGGAGATAGGATCTGCTGTTAATCGATCATAGCATATAGCTTCATTGTAAGGTTGTGGGTTTTTTTTTTTTTGGGTTGAATGCAAGAACGTTCTGAAATTTTAAGGAACAGTATTAGAAGCACTATTACCTAATTTGGCAAGAAAATTTTACAGAAGAAGCAAACTTATGAACACCAAAATACTGACAATTTTAAAATTTCTGAACAGATTTTTTATGAACTTTGGCATGCTGCATTTCCTATTATTGTTCAAACCTTTATGAACAACTATTCCCTTCTCATAAAAATGAAGAAAATTTTAAGTACCATTAAATATCTGTTTTTCCAGTGCTAGATAATGGGAGAACAGTTTTGATATTTTTGAATCATAGTTTGCATCAAAAATGAGTTGAAGATTTTCTAAAGTAAAGAATTTAACTCTTGAAGCACACTGCATGACAACCCAACACTTTGCCTGGTGGCCATTCAGATTCTGCTGGTGGTTAAGACTCTTTCTAGAGAAAAATACTTAAAATTTGCTAGTGTGACATGAACTCAGAGGTGGGATTCAGCCTGTTCGCACCACTTCGGCAGAACCGGTAGCTAATTTTTTGTTGTCCAGACCCAGAATGGACTTCCAGAAGCGGCATCCACACAGAGAACTGGTTGTTCACATATTTGAATCCCACCACTGCATGAACTGTGTGATTGACAAAATCACTGTTTTCGTAGAAATATTACAGAACTTTATACTTTCCACAAACATTAATTGCTCTTTGTTTTTTCTCCCTGTGTGTAGATCATCGTAATCCAAACCTATTATCGACGATGGCTAGCTATTCAATGGGTAAACAAACTAAAAGAACAGTTAAGATTGAGATTGGAATGGGAAAGGCAAGAAGAACTAAGAAAACAGAGAGAGAGGGAAGAAAAATTGCTAAGGGAGTATAATCGAAGAATGCATCCTAAAACAAAGGATGATTTTGAATTACTTTATCATGCCTTAGAATGTAAGTATCCAATCTCTTCTCTGCCAATAAGTAAACCCAAACTCTCTCATTTTTTTCAACAATTTATCATAGATTAGATGCAAAACTGTAGCCACTGTTGAGAAGCCCCAGTTACACTGGGATATTTCATGCAGTTTCAGAATTCAGCATCTTTTCAGTATTTTAGCTATTATCCAAGCCTTACTGAATGCACTTCCCTTCTTTATGTCGCTCACGAAGTATCTGTTTTAAAAGACATATTATTACCGTATATCCCGGCGTATAAGACGACTTTTGAGAGCGATGAAACAGCCTCCGAACTCGGGGGTCGTCTTATACGCCGAGTCGTCTTATACGCCGGAAATAAGGTAGTTTCTGGCGTATAAGACGACTTTCTAGGCATGCGACTCGGCGTCGATCATCTTATGCGCCGGAAATAACGTTATTTCCGGCGTATAAGACAATCGATGCCAAGTCGCATGCCTAAAAAGTCGTCTTATACGCCGGAAATAACGTTATTTCCGGCGTATAAGACGACTTTCTAGGCATGTGACTCGGCGTCGATCATCTTATGCGCTGGAAATAACGTTATTTCCGGCGTATAAGATGATCGACGCCGAGTCGCATGCCTAGAAAGTCGTCTTATATGCCGGAAATAACGTATTTCCGGCGTATAAGACAATCGATGCCAAGTCGCATGCCTAGAAAGTCGTCTTATATGCGACTCGACATCGATCATCTTGCGACTTGGCGTGATCGTCTTGCGACCCGGCGTCGAACTCGGGGGTCGTCTTATACGCCGGGTCGCCCTTTACGCCGGAATATACGGTAATTAAGTAACTTAAATCAAGACAAAGAAGAAGGGATAACTGGTATTAGCTGTAAACTTAGAATTATTAGGTTTGCAGATCTGGGAATTGCCAAATCCCTACAGTCACATCTTGATGCCAAAGGCAAACAGTAAACTCTAAATCTTTGTTATCACTTGTTGGTCTTCCAGATTTGTGTAGGCCAGATCCATTTCCACATTCTTTAGAAGACATACTCCAGTTTCTGTAAACTCCTATCTATTTTCAGCTATTATATTCAGAGATGCTCTAGTCAAAGAAGAGTGGCAATTTATAAGAGACAGAGTTTTGAATGAAAACATTTGTAATTGAAGGAGAATCATATTTTAGTGCTTCCAATATAAAACCAGTATAATATAAAACTAACTTTAGCAGAAACCTCTACTTGATGTGTTGGGTTACTATATACTATAGAGGTAGGGAAGCTGCCTTTTTTAAAAATAGTTTCTCTGTTTCCTTAAGGAATATGTTTCTTCTGAACTAATTTACCCTTGGCTTAAATGACTGCAACATTTTTGGTGATGTTGATTCTTCTACACTGAGGTTCTGTTTCCTTGTATATTATGTTGAGGCATAATTTATCTGTTCTCTTTTAAAGAACTCATCTTTTAGGAAGTTAAAAGTGCACTTGATTTTCTTTGAATGTATTCATCATCTGACATGCCTTTTGATAGTGTTTCAGAGGTATATTTAAAAACTAATACAAGAAAAATGGAAAACATACACCTCTGTACATTCCCTGGAATTAGAAGACTATTCCCTTGAAGTGATAATTTAATTAACAGTTGCCTACCATTCATTTTTTCAAATTAGAAAAATATTGATCTGGTTATGAAAACAATTGCTCTATTTTTAGGTGTTATCCAAAAGCGTACTAAAGTAGTTTTATGAAATTCTAGTCTGAAAAAAAGTGTCATTGTGAATTTCTATCACTCTTTTTTAGCACTATTTGTAGATATCAGACTGGATATAAGTAAATTTTAGACTGCTTTGATGTTTGTGTTTGCCATAAATTAAGTGATGGGTGCTATTGTCCATATGGATAGACCCTCTTCATAGTAATCTGTCCCCTATCTGATACTTTAAGTCTTCCAAAAGTGCACCATTCCTGGTCTAATCAGATCCATTCTCCTTGCTGCTGATTGCCCTTTTTTCCTCTTTCCTTCCCTCTTTCCTAGCATTATGATCTTCTTAAGGACCAGGATCTTTGCATCATGTGTCTAGAACATAATAATTTGAACCTTGTCACATGTTTTTCAAGTGAGAATTCTGGATTGTTTTATTCTATGTTCTATTTGTCAGTTTTCTTAATTGTGCATGGTATTCTCAAGAGTTTTCTCTAATTGCAAAGTTCAAAAGTGTCAATATTATTTCTATACTGTTTCTTCAAAGTGCAAGGGGTGGGGATGTGTAAACTATTGAATCATAATAGTAGCTATTGAGTCCAGTACATCAGTCTTGACATAATAAGCTGTTGTTGAACTGTGCTGTTTCAGATTGCTTGCTACTGTTTTTATTCATTATTTTCTGGATGCTTCCTCAATTAGTGACTTAATTGTTTTTCTTCAAATAAGAAAGAATTAAATTAAAAGAAGCACTTGTTACCTTAATAGAAGTAAGTAACAGAAGTAATAGAAGTCAGTTTTTTAAAACTTGTTTCCTCATAAACAGTGATTGATTATTTTTCTTTATGACTGCTATTCTCATATAGACCCTGATAATTTATATTAGTGATGCTTTTAAAGCATGTAGCAATTTGTTGATATTTAAAGAAGAGTAACAGATCTGTTTGTCACTTGGTTAAAGAAAAATAATAACCTTGTGTCTTAAGGGCTGTATAAGAGTGAAGGAAGGACAAAAGCTGTCAGGCTTCAAGATTCTGTTACTGTAGGCAATATTAATTATATTGTCTTTCTTATCTTCCTTCTTGTTTCTTGACTTGGCCCATTCTATAGGGCTGGCAAAAGGACAGTGCATTCAATCCAGTTTTTACGGTCTAGCTCTGCTTGGATACCTTTGAAAAACTTCCAGTACTGGATTTCAGCTCTTTGTGTATTAAATAGGGTTTAGTAATCCACATGGTTCTGGGAAGAGAAATAAAGAGTGGTTTGTGATAGCCTTTGCACAGTTTATATATTGCTTTGTTACATAATCTGCCTGACTTTATTGATACCTCATCATTATTGTATGCTGATAACAAAAATAAATAAATTCATAATAGATACCTTCAACTGAATGCCAGCTTGGTTATTAAAATCTAGCACTATATATTACGATGTAGCATTGCTTAGTGTAAACAAACTATCAGTTTGCCAGTGCCCATCTTTTACAGTCAATAATTTAGCTGTTTTGTTAATGGATGAATGGCTGGTTATAACATGGATTTGTTTTTTGTTACTTCTTTCAAGCAAAAAAGATGCATGATTAATCAGTTAGAGCTCACCTCTTATTTCCACATATGTAATGGCTATAACACTTTGTCCAGAGCATTAGAAATGAATCCACTGATAAGGAGGATAGGATCAGTGCTGAATTGTGTTTATCATGGTTGTATGTAAGATCCGAGGATGATAAGCTTATCCAGAATATCACTTAGTGTACATACAGTATAAGATAGATTGGCAGATCTAGATTCTGTTTCTTTTTCAGCTTATTTGTTTTAAATGTTGTAGTTGGTGAATTTGGTGAATGGCAAAAGATCTAGATCAGGGGTGTCAAACTGGTGTCCCGTAGGCCAGATACGTCATACACAGGCCATGTGCACCCTGGCTCCGCAAAGGCAAAAAACATTGCGCTACATCATGTGATGCGATCAAGTTTGACACCTGTGATCTAGATGATTAGTCTGGTACATAAATGTAGTGCTACTAAAATGGGACCATACAGTTATTGGCTATATAAGTCATTATTGGAAGTCTTCATGTTTGCTTTAAAAATAAAAAGTACCACAAAAGGATTGGGAGTATGGTTGGGATCAGACAATAGAACAGGAAATTTTGCTTTCTCTTATTCCAAATAATCTCTAAGAACTACCATTAATGAGAGAGACATACAAATATATAGCCTGAGATATTTTTCTGAATCTGGCAGAGCAGTCCAGGTCCTTCTCACCTTGCAAGTAAGAAACAAATTCAAGACAGAAAATTATGTTACAGAATTATATATATATAAAATATATATAACATAATATATAATTTGGCCATCAACAGTTAAAGAAATGTAACCTAATAATTCTGATATATGAAGTTTACAACAGTTTAGAAACTGTTTAGGAACATAGCTACTATAGAAGTATTTGTATGGTTGTAGCAAGGAAGAGAATTGCTATAAATAAGAATCACAAAGCTTATGATACGTACGAAGAGCTAACTTTCTACTTTTTAACATTTAAAAAGAGCTGTAATTAGAAGTGCAAACTTATTATTATTGGATTCTAATATATTTATATTTTTGGTCTTTGGTGCACTTTGGGGAAGTAAATTGAGGAAGAGGAATACTCAACTTTTTGACAATTTAATGTATCCTAAAAGGCTGATAGAAAATAATAGGTAATAAAAAATAAAATTCTATTTTGTTACTCCTCTCCCCCCAATAATATAGAAAAATTATACAACACTTTAATAATCATGTTTAAATTCACATTGCTAATGTATAAAGCTCTTAAAATTGACCGGAAAGTTACAGAAATCCCTATGCTTTTGTCCTTCAGCATGTAAATGACTTATTATTTCATAATGAAGAAGCAAATACCCAAAAAAATGTGTCCTAGTCTAACCCCTGCACTCCTCATCAAATACTCTCATATAGGAGTATCATCAATACCACTGGCCTGAAGACAAATGGATTAGTCCTACATGAAACATAATCTGGCTATTGAGATAGAATTTACTTATCCACAGTTAGAAACTATATGTCTACTTTCTTTTTAGCTGCATTCGTACATGTTTCTAATGACATGAGAGACTGTATATATTACAGAAGAACTTTTTCATATTATGAAATTGATTTGAATAACCCAAAGATGGCTTCTACTGGTGTATATCAAGAACACTTAACTAGTAAATGATAATTTAGAATAACCAAATAGCAACTCACATGGCTTCTGTTTATTAAGACTTGACTAATTTAAAATATTCAATTTGTATTAATGCTTGGTGAAGGCTAATCAAAAAATGAGAACTGAAAAAAATCAATATAGGTTTTTTTTGTTGATGCAGTATGGAGAAAAGAGGAACTTGAGGGTATCAACAGCACTTTCACTGGAGCTGAACGGAAAGCAGCTCTCTGTGGACTTCTAGAAAAAGAGACCCAGCTGATTGCTTGCATTGGGAGACACAAAATAAATGCAGCAGAAGAGAACCATGAAAAAGCAATCCTGTTCTTTTTGGAAAAGGTCAGTGAGATAATTTCTGTCTTCGTGTAACCAAGAGTTTAAAAACCGAAATTAACATTTGCAAACTAACAACATACTGAAGTAAAGCACAGTAATTAACTTACCAGTTGGTGATATGATTTGTGAGCTTTATGCATGTCTGGCAGTAAAATTGGCTCATTAGATATGGTTATTAAAAGTCTTTATGTATACTCATAAATTTGTGAAAATTTCTTTTCACTTATGTACAGAGAAGCCACCACTTACATCTTAATTTACTTAATTACATCTTCTTATTGAAAATGATGCTAACCATGCCCTCTATAACCTTTAATTAATACTGCATTTTAGGCATGTAGGGTAAATTTATTATAGTAATTTCATTCACATTATCAGAATTTATATTCTACAATATCTTATTTTTGTCACTGTTATAACACCAGACCCCTTTGGCTCTTCTGCAAGAAAATATATTTAACATTTTGTGTAAGGCTTTTCAGGAAAACTCATTATTTCACATGTAGAATAAATTTTCTATTGGGGAGGGAGAAGTATTTAGGGGAAGACTACAACATCAAGTAAATTAAGTATACCCATCATCCTGTTTTCTCTTCAAGTGAAGAAATTGGTAGAGTTGCATCTCAAGAAGAATTTGTTTTTGATTTTACTTCCTTTGTAAATCATATTGCTGCTGGATAGTTTGAAGTTGTAACATGTCAGATACTCAATGGCAATCCTTTTCTTATCTCATTTTTAAGCTTCCAGTGACCTATTCCTTTTCAAATCTCTAGCAAGGATCTTGACAAACATGAGCACTGGGCCTTGTTCAACAAGATGTGGTTCAGTGGTCAGAAGAGTAAGGGTCCTGCATTTAGGCAGGAAAAACCAAATACACAGGTTCAATGGTAGTAACTGGCTCAACGGTAGTAACTGTGAGAAGGATCTAGGTGTCCTGGTGGGCTAACACTTAAATATGAGCCAGTAGTGAGCTCCAGCTCTAGCCCCATGATTCTATTGTTCTAATTATCAGGTATACTTTAAGCCAAAACAAAGTACATTGTAAATTTAAATTGTTGTTTTGCATTGTATTCTATTTGTGTGTGATTTCTGTTTCAAAGACAATTGACTCTACTCACATATATGATTTGAACTAAATACCCAAGTATTTCATTTGTGTAGTAGAGTTCTCTTATAATGATAATCTTATGAACTTAGAGTTCTAACATTAAGATGAATTCTTCATTAGAAGAAACTTCAGACTGAAATTAAAAGTAGGAATGTAAAGATAGTAAATAAATGCACCATTACTTTGGAATAATAGCAAATAATTCTAAGAATAAAGCAATAGATAAGAAAAAGACATAAGAATAAGAAATTATTATTTTAATTAGGGTAAATGTCTTAAATTGCTTATCCACCTGTAGATGTCACTAGCAACCAACACTATACTTGAAATAAACTTAGAAGCTTTGATGCTTCCAAATACACAGCATACAATAATATACAATATCCATAAATATTGTTTTCCCTAATTTTAAAATTGCTTCATTTCTATTCTTCAGTTTCCCTCATAAGAATTCTCTCCTGCTAGAGACTGTTTTTATCCAGAGAAAATGTATAGAAACCTTTATGCTCTAAATCCAGTTCCCTGCTGAAAGAGAAAATTAGATGGAAGAAGCAGTTAGTAGTTAACTCCAGTTTAATAAGCAAAAATCCTACTTTAGTTTAATAAACAAAAATCTCCCTTTCACATCCCACTGCAAGAGACAGCTATCTAATTATAATTTGCTGACAGTTGACTCTCAGAATTGTTTTGAATGACAGCAGAAACTAAGAAATGGTATGTTTGAGGAGAATAAGAGGGTGTGTCTACTAAAATGTGGGCAAGAAGAGAAAAAGGTTCAGTGGAATTACCATAGAGAGATTCTTTTGAAGCAGGAGAGAGAGTAATGTGTTGAGTAGTGTGCCACAGAGTTCCCTTCTGGGTCCAGTCTAATATTATTTTAAAAAGTTATAAATGCTTGAAACAAAAAGTGAAAGGCATGCTCATGACATATGCAGTTGACACAAAACTGGATATTAAAAAAAAGCTACCAGAGAAAGCTGATCTTGTTCTAAATTGTTACAAAGGTTGCACAAGATAATAAGAACTTTCTTGTGACTTGGTAGTTCATTCTGGTTTTACTGATTCTACACATAAGACAGTGGTTTAATCACAAAATATATTTTGAGAATCTTCTGAAGTAGTTCAACTTTCTTTCCCTCTTTGGTTCAAGATGTTAACTGCCTAGGTTGATGTTTCTTATTTTGCTATAAATTACTAAAGTCCTTTTTATTTTTCATTTTGTGATTGATTTATGACACCAAGTGTCATATGTAAAGATATTCATAAAATGAATACATGTTTAAACTCTTTTTGCTGTTTGAAGATGCTTCCTGAATATTTTAGGAGAAATGGAATATTGTTCATTTGAACTTTCTACAAGTTTTTCTTTTGTTTCACAATTTTTACATAATGTTTTTAGATGTAAGTTCATAAGATGAAATTATAATATTGTTCAAAAAGTGTATATACTTTAAGTTCAAGATATATTATTTCCAGCATGCTTCTCATGTGTATGTGTCTTGGTTATCTGAGACAGGAACAGCAAATATATTCTTGTTCATTATATAACCTAAGTTTTAATTCTTAATTAATAATAATAAAGATGATATATCTTGCATGTATTGTATTACCTGTATGTACTGCCAACACTTTGCTTGGAGTCAGACAAATGCATATCAAGTTCACACCTGCATCCTAAAAATGGGCTCTCTGCCCAAAAGCTGTTGTGAAAGAGCAATCAGTAAGATCTTTTATGCAATATGGGTAGTTACTGCATAAGTAGAGCAATTTTGACATTTTAAGATGTTCAAAAAATTTCTTCAGATTTCAACCTATTCTGCATATTGAAAAGTTGGATTAGGAAACATTTCAGAATGCTTGATTGTATGACTTACAGAGTTGAGGTTGGGAGATTCTGGAACATATCAGATTGCACTTATATAAGTCCATCATGGATTTCTTAATATGCAAACCATTATTTTTCAACCTGGTTCAATAAAGCCTGCTACAATTCTTCAAAATATAACTGCCTCAACTTCACTTTACTAATCCCAGATATAGGGATATCAAGCCACCACCTACCCTTGATTTTAGTAGGCTTGGAGGGGACCAGAGGTTCTAGGACAAGGCAAGAATTCTCACCCTTGGAAAACTACCCATCCCCCAGCTACAATATTAATCCTACAAAACTGACTTTATAGCATGTTTTTTGATGCAGGAGAATTTCTGGAGTCCTGTGATATTTGGGAATACAAGATAGACACTGATCCTATGGTGGAGCAAACCAGATTGGGAAACATTCTCTAAAATGCTCTGTGCATACAGAGAAAATTAATGTGTGATCAGTGATTTTAAATCTCTTCAGCTACTCTGGGTGTCATAATACTGGTTTACAGTGTTTCATAATACATATAAAAGATTTGTGTTATCATGCATGCACAAGAAAACAAATTAATAGAACTTTAATTATGCTGGAGCAACAATCTTTTGTTTCTGATTCTGTCAAGTGTTTGCTAGCTTTAACTGAAGGATGTAGAATTTTATTTACTTAGGCAAAAATCTATTGCATCAATTTTCAAAATTGGTTTTGGCTTCAGTTCATCAGTTCCAATTATCTGCACTTCATTTAATTATAGAGCTAAACCCACTAAGAATCTGTCAAATTTTATTTATGAAATTCTATTTTTATTTTTTTAATGCTTATATAATTTGAAAAATAGGAGTTTCTTAATAGTGTACAGATTTCTATTTCCAGTAGCAAACAGTTTCTGTGCATTCAAGCTTCCTAGAGATGTATAGAGCTGTGGAAATAGAATTGTTAAAGTTAAAAAAGAAAAGAAAAAAGAACACAGCACAGTCAGCTTTGTTCCTTGCTTTCCCCAAGTACATACTTTAGAGCAAGAAGGGCCCAAGAGTTGAGAAGATAGTTAGAAGAGAGCTCCATGGTACTAATATGCCCTGGCTGATGCTTATTAAACAGGACAAGACAGGTTAGAGAGAATATTGCCATAAGCCAGGACTAGAAATCTCCTAATATCCACCCACCCATGTTCATTCCATCTCTTGCATTTACATAGGAATTAAGGAGCAACCCTAGGCTGAGGATTTAGTCATACTGAAAAGGAGCTTTTAAAAGATAGGAGTATTGCCATGGTTGCTTTTCTTTAAAAAAAAAAAAATTAAATCAGGAGGGAATTTTTTTCCACAGTTTTATTGTGGTTCTTCTATCTCCAGTTCTGTCAAAGAAAATTAATATGCATATGTCTCTCCTCCACTATGTAGAATCCATAGTGTGGGTGGACCACAGATCTAAAGTGTAGGAGCTTAGAACTCAAGTGCAAGGGTCAAATGATGTTAAGGCTCTTCAACTTACTAATTATGCAGAAGCATTCATGAAGGAGATCAAAAAAGTCAATATGATAGCCATAATTACGCAATCAAAGCCTGGGCCCTGTATTATGTGTAACCACAAACTAGTCCTTTGTCAGTTCCTTGTTTGAAACAGGTTTACTGCAATCCAGTTACCTGTTTTCCTTCTGGTTATTTGACTCAGTGCTATAAATGTTATTTACCAATGCTATTTTTTATTTTTATTTTAATTATTAATTACAAATACTTTATTCTCAAGCATTTATTCTCAAGGAATATCTATAGTAATCTGAAAAACCTTTAAGTTTATTAAATCCAAATTATTAAATCTAAAACTATTAAATCCAAAGTTTAAAATTATCTTGCTTCATCAAACCATCCAAGCTCCAGAAATTGGGCAGTGGTTATTATGCTAAGTTGTATCTAATTTTTGTGCACAGCTGTTCATCTCCTGTTATGAAAATTGGTTTACACGAAAGAAGATCATGCCACTGAGGGTCTAACAGGTGCTAAACAGTCAGATTAAAAAAATACTATTTTATTTTCCCAGTCTTCCCCACTTCCCCTATCTGACTGCAAACCTAAAGATCTGTTTATTTACATTATTTTGATTATTTGTTGCCCATCCATCTTTTTTAAAAAAGCATGATTGCCACAAAATCAGTAAAAACCTTAATGCTGGAATATGGAATCTGTATAGATTGATTATATCAAAAAAGTGTTTATGGCTTCCATATTTCAAGAATTTGGACAAACTTGATACATTTTGGAAAATGTTTTATTCATCTCTATCATCAGATTAGCATCATTAAACTGTTATTATATGATAATACTGGTTCTAGCTGCATTCTGTTAAACCCATTAAGTCTTTCATATTTTTTGTATTGTCCTTTGAATTTTTTATGTTCATTAGGAAACTACAATTTTACAATAAATCACTGGATTTCACAATTTATCTAAGGATTTATAAAAAAAGCTTTTAGTAATTGCTGATTTCTTAGAATAATGATTATTTTTTAATTAACTAAAATGAAATGTTAAATATGTAGAAGCAACCTCCATTAAACTTCTAGCACTGTACTTTATTCATGTACTGCTCCTTGTTCTATAATCATTGGTTCAAATTGTTTCTCCAGTGTGCAGAACCAAAAAGATGGAAAGCATTCGATGGCAGAACCACAGAAATGGATACACAATTCACACTGCGGGCCAGGGAATTACTTGGAATCTATCGCAGCATTAGTATGAAAGATCTTCCCCAAGATGAACGGCTAGATGTGTTGTTAGCCCTGAAACATACAGTGAAGGTATGTTTCTCCAAGGCTTTAAAAACACACACACACTGATATCACATATCAATAGTATGTAGTGATTTACATGTCAGACTAAGACCAAGGAGATTGAGGTTCAACCATCTCATCAGCTTTGGAAGCTTGTTTTGTGTATCAAGCAAGTCATTCTCCCTTAGTCAAACCTACCACATAGAGCTGTTGTTGCAGAGAAAATTGTGAAATGTTGCCTTGAGCCCTTATAAGTAAATATTTGATGTTCTCCATTTGTATATATTTGAGGGCTTTATTCCTTACTCTTGTGGAGGTTACACCTCTATTTTGCTAACTGCAATGGTTCCTAGTAAGCTCTCAGATGCAGTTCTAGATGTTGATTACCACCTTCATGGCCCAGGACTTCAGTATTTGCAAAGATCATCTGTCTAACTGTTTCTGGCCGTCCCACACATTACAATAGAGTGGACACATTCCTGGCTCCTTGTCTGAAACATGCTATCTGACAGGACATAGGAAGGATGCCTTTTCAGTTGTGATCCCTGCCCTCTGAAATGATCTCTTCCCTACGATTCGCCTGTCTCCAGTCTGGTTGGCCTTCAGGAAGGCTTTGAAGACGTGGATGCTTTCTCAGCATTGGAGCCAGAATATTCTGGGATGCTGAGTATATTGTGGTTATACCTCAAGTGTACAATTTTGTTTTCTTTATTGATTTTTTGTTATTGACACTTGAAATGCTATGATTTATTTATAGCTGTATGCCACAGGAATCACATTATTGCAATTTGGATAGCCATATTAATCCTTAAACAAAATAAATATGTGTATGTTTAATTGGTAGCTTCCATTCTACTCTTAGAATGAATGAATGAATGAATGAATGAATGAAGCCAGATTAAAAGATAACAAATAACTCAATTAACCACTACTGAAAAATTGAAAGGGCCTGAGGGGATGAATAGGTCCTGTGTGATCAACAGTGTGCACTCTTCATTGCTTTTGAACGCTGATGAAAAAGTGAGATCTATGATCCTAAGCACACTGACTTACTATGAAGATATTTAAATATACAGAATACTGTATATTAGAACAACTGGGAAGCAAGTGTTGGATTTCTATCCTAAAGCCAAACTAGAAGATGTGCCTTCTGAGAAAAATTGCTTGGGTGAGGGTTTCTGCAGATAAACCTTTGGTGTGTCTCTAATCTGGCTTGGGTTCCCTCCATCGCTATTTTCACTGAATAAAAAACTCCAAAAATACTTCATTCATTTCAGGGAAGATGTTTTAAATGTAGCTTACTATAAAAACTATTTTTCTGGTTAATTAAGTGCTTAAAAATCACAACTAATGGCTGAGAAACGCACTGTATTCACATTTCTAAAAGCAAAGGGTTTCTGAAATGTTGAGCAGTATCTCAAATTTTGACTCTTTGTTGACCCTTTCTCAGAAGATGCTTTCAAAGCCATTCTCTGAATATTTTAAATGCTCTGCCGCCTGTAAACTATTATAATTGGCAACTGATATTAAGAATTACAGTCGGACTTCCGGTGGATTTTGCGCGCGCGATGGCGGCTACTTTGTAGCCGTCTCTCCTGGGTAAGTGTAAGAACCGCTATGAACAGCAGACATCAGCTGTTCAGCGGTTCAAAATCCCCCTCCCGGGCAAAGGGGGGGGTAGAGAGTGTCTGAATAGTGGTAGAGCCTCTTTTGCACCCCCCAAGTTTTTTTTGGGGGGGGTGAAAGGAGTGCTCCCACGGAGTTCAGACTTGTCTCCGCTTCCCAGCTGTTTTTGTCCTCAGGGACAAAACGAGCCGCTGCAAACACCTCCGTGCTTAAAGAGAACTGGTGAGTTTTTTTTTTTTATAAACGGACAGAGCTGAGTAGAGGATTTAGTTTTTGCTTTCTTTGATTTATTTGGATTTTAAGTTTTAAGACTTGCTTCTATTTTTATTCTCTCTTTTTATTTTTTTTTCTTTGTTGAAAGGGAAAGTAAAATGGCGATCGGCAAATCTCTCGGTGTTTTTTTTTTCTGAAGTTAGAATGCTGACCGGCAGGCTTTTTGGTGTTTCTCTTTCTTTCCTTTCCCTTTCCCTTTTTATTTTCTTATGATTGGAATGGTTGTTTTTGGTATCTCTAAGTATTTTTTTTGGAACGGACTTTTTCTATTTAATTATTATTATTTTTTTCTCCCTTCTTTTTATTGTAATGACCCTTTTTTGAAGGACTTTTTTCTGTTTAATTTTTTGCAATTTTTAAGAAGGAGTAAAGCTTTTTTTTAATTCTTTTTCTCTTCCTTTTTTTTTCTTTTTCCCTTTTTTCTTTTTATTATAATGACCTTCTTTGGAGGGAGTTATGATTTTTGAAGGACTTTTTATAATTTTTTAAGAAGGGCTAAAGGTTTTTCTTTAAGATGGCTCCAAAGCGTCCAGGGATTTCTACAGCTTCTAAATCAACAGTTTCACCCTCTTCTGGGGGTCAGCTAATAACTATGAAGGATTTGCAAAACATGATGGGAGATGTTATAATTCAAATTAGGGCAGAAATGAAAAAGATTTTAGAGGAAAATAATAAGATCTTGAGACAAGATTTTGTTTTGGCTTTAGAAGGAGTTGCTTCTGTTCTTGAAAAGGTGAACTCCCATGTGGAAGAGGTAGCTGAAAAAGTGGACATAATGGAGGGGAAAATTGAAAGTATGGAAAAAGAAATGGAAAATGAGATTCTTATGCTTCAATATGGACAAATGGAATATGCCTTAAGAATCAGAGGCCTGGAAGAGTCTTTGCAAGGAGATTTGAAAGAGATGGTTGCAAAGGACTTTGCATTGATTTTGAATAAAGAAAAAGAGGGAATACTTAGTGAAATTGAAAAATTATTTAGGGTTAACTCTGTGGTGGCAGCACAGAAGAATCTGCCAAGAGATGTGGTAATTTACTTTGGTAAAAGATCTTTACGCAATGAAATTGTGCAAGCCTATTATAAGAAGAGATTTCAAATTGCTTCACAAGATGTCATAATTTTTAAGGAGATCCCATCTAAAATTTTAAGAAGAAGAAAGGAGTTTGCTTTTCTAGCAAATGAACTTAAAAAGAGAAAAATTCTATTTAGATGGGATGTTCCGACTGGAATGGTGGTGAACTACCTGGGGACATGTCATAGACTTAATACTGTTTCTCAAGCAAAAGATTTTTATACTTCGGTCCTGGGGGTATGTGCATCGCCATCTATTAGGTCTCAACAAGTCCAGATCGAGGAGCAGAAGACAACTTGTGTAGCACATAATTCCAAAGAAAAGCAGCAACAGAAGAAGGTTAAGGAAGTTTCATATTCAGTGGTCTCTGAATCTCTGGGAGATGTTGGACCTACAAAGTCTTTGGAGCAATCTTCAAGGGTGGAATTGCTGCCTGAAATGGAAATTGGGAAATCTCAGTTTGAGGGGCATCAACAAGAGAGGAACGGGCAGAGGATAACTTGTATAACTTACAATTGTAAAGATCAACACAAGGAGGAATTTAAGGAATCCTTACCTGTATTGGCTTCGGAAGTTAGACCTACAAAGTCTTTGGAGCAATCTTCAGAAATGGAAATTGGGAAAACATATAAATGTAAAGAGAAAGACCAACAGAAGAAGGAGGTTGAGGAAGTTTCACAGGTACTGATTCCTGAGCTTGGGGGTCAACCAGGACTTACAAACTCTTTGGAGCGATCTTCAAGGGCAGAATTCCACGCATTCTTTTCGATGCTTGCGGGCAAGAGAGACTGATATGGATTGTGCTTATAGTAGATGCAACTGGCTATTAGACAGAAGATTATGGATATTGAATGAAAATTTTAGATAAGAAGTTTGTGTTTATAGTGGATGTAACTGGTTATTGGACAGAAAATTATGGACATTGAATGAGAACTTTAGACAAGAAGTTTACTATTGAGATTGTGGGAGAAGTAAAACTTATATCGTTTTTGGAAAATGTCTTATGTAATGTCTAAACATGTGTTTTGGGATAATAATATATTTCAGCTTTAAGTTTTAAACCTTTAATGATAATATTGTTTAAACTTGTGTTTTGAAGGGATTACAATTTGTTTATTTCAGTGAGGGGATTGTAATAAATTTGTGTTTCGAAGGGAGTATAACTTGTTTAAGTTTCAAGTAATGCTTAAATTTGGTTTTTAAATATTATTATTAATATTTCTAAGAGAAAATAATTTGTTTAATTAAATGTCTAGATTTGTTTAGGAAAGAAAGTAATGTTTAAATCTGTGTTTTTGGAGGAAGTCTATATAGAATGATGATTGTATTTAGACTTGTTTAGGATTTAAAAGTGTTTCAAGTTTTTAAATATTATTATTAATATTTTTAAGAGAAAATAATTTGTTTAGATTTGTTTAGGATTTTTAAGTTTTTTTTTTTTGGATAGGTGAGAAGATTATGAAGATTGAAGGAAATATGTATTTATTTTAAGTTTTCTAAGAGTATTTAGTTTTAATGGTATAACAAAGGTTTATATGTTTATTTTTTTGTATTAGGATAAAGAAAGAGGGAGAAATTAGATTTTATATTATAGGCATAGATATTCAAAGAAAGTAATGTTTAAATTTGCGTTTTTGGAGGGAGTTTATATAGAATGATGATTGTATTTAAATTTGTTTAGGTTTTAAAAGTGTTTTAAGTTTTTTTCTTAATTAAGCCTGTACTTAGCTCTGGGAAGTTCAGGGGAGGGTTTGGGAGGTTGGGGAGGAGGGGGGTGAGGTAGGGTTGGGGGGGGTATGGGAAGGGGATTTGTTTTTGTAAAAATTTAAAAATTTTCAATAAAAAAAAAAAGAAAAGAAAAAGAAAAAAAAGATTAAAAAAAAATAATAAAAAAGAAAAAAAAAAAGAAAAAGGAAGAATTACAGTCAGTATAAGTAACCGTGTACCTATGGTTTGCTAAACACTTTATTTTTTCAGGAACACGAATGTAAACTCACGCAAGAAATAGTGGAATTAATTGATAGAGAAGCAGACCTCATGATGCGGGCAGTGAAGGAATGTAATTTACAAGGACTTCGACAAAGAATCTGTACATTATTTCTTCAGTATATTAAAACACCTCTTTTTAATCCAGAGGTTGCACGACTTCTCAAGGTATTTTCCACCTCTGTTACATATATATGTAGTGCAATGTGAAGCTAAATGAAATTCCTTTTCTGTTTAAATAGTCCATTGGCTGTCCAAAAGATGGATAACTCTCACCTATATTCCTTTAATTTGCTCTAAGTTGAGCCACCTTGAAAACTATCCTAAAACTTCAGCTGGTCCACAGCATAGTGGCTCATAGAGTTTTTGGCTATTCTTGATACTTCCCATGTTACAGTTACATGGATGTTTCAGGGATTGCATTGGTTACCAGTGTTTGAGTGCAATTCAAGGTAGTGGTTACTAACTTTAAAACCCTATATGGCTTGGGGCTTGGGGATCTAAGAAATCACCTTTTCCAGATACATAATGCCTATCTGGCCTGGGTAGCCAGAAAGCAGATATTCATGGTATCTCTCTTACTAGGAGATGTGACTAGAAGGGATCTCAGGATTCTCTGTAGGGGCTCTCCTCTTACGAAGCAGCTTACCTTTCCAAGATAAGGATGGCCCTGCATTTATGGTCTTCCAAAAATGGCGAAGACCTAGTATTTCTAAAGCCTTTGGGAAAATATTGTAGACCCAATGATGCCAGATGCAATGTAATTGCATTATTATATTGTTGTAGATTTTCTAATATATAGTGCAGTATTATTGTATGTTATTATATAGCAATAGCACTTAGACTTATATACTGCTTCATAGTGTTTTACAGCGTTCTCTAAGCAGTTTACAGAGTCAACATACTGCCTCCAACAATCTGGGTCCTCATTTTACTAATCTCAAAAGGATGGAAGTCTGAGTCAACCTTGAGCTGGTCAGAATTGAACTCCTGGCAGTCGGCAGAGTTAGCCTGCAATACTGCATTCTAACCACTATGTCACCATGCTTATATTATTATATTATATTATATTATATTATATTATATTATATTATATTATATTATATTATATTATATTATATTATATTATAATATATTATAATATATTATATTATATTATATTATAATATTATTATATTATATTTATTATTACATTACATTATCACATCATATTATCACATCATATTATAAATTGCCTAGAATATGATGCTAGTTAAATAAGTATCTCAAATTTTACATTATTATTATTGTTGTAGAGTACAGTTGATTAATTACGAAATACATACACAAAACAGAAAGAATAGATGAGGCTATTCTGTATGAAAAAAATGACATGAAAGCCAGATATATTTGTGACAGCCAGGTGGAGTATACTGTCTGCCACCTAACAGACTGGAAAGAAAAATATTTGAATACAGTAAAATGAACTGCTAATATAACATGGCATTTGCCTCATATGTGTGATTGAAGAAAATGGACTTGCCAATAGATATGCATAGCAAAGTTAAAGAATTAGAATTTTGCTGAACCACAGCTTTCAGAATCCCCCACCTGCACAGACAATAACAAGAGAGCTGTAAATCAGTAACAGCTGCTGGACCACAACTTTCTCATCTCTGCTATAAAATTGTGAACAGTGAAATCAAAGTCCGAACACCCCCCCCCCCAATTTTTTTAAGTTCTCTCCCTGATGTGATCTTGGGATTATAATATTGCAGTGCCTTGTAAGAGGGCTAATGCGAGTAAAGATTCATCTTAACCCCATCATAGTTATTAAACACGCTTAACAGGTCAATTTAGTAATTTACTTACATTTGTGTAAGTAAATAACATACACAAATTTCACAATAAAATAATAGCATCATAAGCAATTATAGATCAGCTATTGAAAAGGTAGAATTAAAAAAAAATACTTGAGAAAACAGGAAGCTTGGAAATTCATAATAGGAGCCCATCTAATTTTTGGACTGAATTTGATCTTGATGATGATTGCCTTTATATAAAATGTCAGTCCTTTGAGGTAGATCAGATTAGAAAACCAATGCAAGTCAGTACTACTTTTACTATAACAACAACAGCAACAACAACAACAATAATAATAAAGTTGGAAGGGACCTTGGAGGTCATCTAGTCCAACCTCCTGCTCAGGTAGGAAACCCTATACCATTTCGGACAAATGGCTGTCCAGTCTCTTCTTAAAAACTTCCAGTGTTGGAGCATTCACCTCTTCTGGAGGCAGGTTGTTCCACTGGTTAATTGTTCTAATTGTCAAGAAGTTTCTCCTTAGTTCTAGGTTGCTTGTCTCCTTGATTAGTTTCCATCCGTTTCTTCTTGTCCTGCCTTCAGGCGCTTTGGAGAATAGCTTGACTCCCTCTTCTTTGTGGCAGCCCCTGAGATATTGGAACACTACTATCATGTCCCCTCTCACCCTTTTCTTCATTAAACTAGACATATCCAATTCCAGCAACCGTTCCTTATATGTTTTAGCCTCCAGTCTCCCAATCATCTTTGTTGCTCTTCTCTGTACTCTTTCTAGAGTCTCAACATCTTTTTTACATTGTGGTGACCAAAACTGGATGCAGTATTCTAAGTGTGGCCTTACCAAGGCATTGTAAAGTGGTATTAATACTTCACATGATCTTGTTTCTATCTCTCTGTTAATGCAGCCTAGCACTGTGTTGGCTTTTTTGGCAGCTGCAGCACACTGCTGGCTCATGTTTAAGTAATTGTCCACCAGCACTTCAAGATCCCTCTCACAGTTACTACTATTGAGCAAGGTACCCCCTATACTAAACCTGTATATTTATTTTTTCTTGTCTAAATGTAGAACCTTACTTTTTTCACGATTAAATTTCATTTTGTTAGATAGTGCCCAGTGTTCAAGTCTGTCCAGATCCTCCTGTATCTTAAGCCTGTCTTCTGGAGTGTTGGCTATTCCTGCCAGCTTGGTGTCGTCTGCAAATTTGATGAGTTCCCCATCTATCCTCTTATCCAAATCGTTGATGAAGATGTTGAAGAGCACTGGGCCCAGAACAGAGCCCTGGGACACCCCACTACACACTTCCCTCCATGTAGATGCAGTTCCATTGAGGACCACATGCTGAGTACGGCAAGTCAGCCAGCTACGAATCCATCTGGTGGTGATGCTGTCTAACCCACATTTTTCTATCTTATCAAGTAGTAGGTTGTGATCTACTTTATCAAATGCCTTACTGAAGTCCAAGTAAATTATATCCACAGCATTCCTCTGGTCCACTAATTTTGTCACTTGGTCAAAGAATGCAATAAGATTTTTCTGGCATGATCTGTTTTTGACAAAACCATGTAGGCTTTTAGTAATGACTTTGTTTGCCTCTAGGTGTTCACTGATTCATGTTTGATTATCTTTTCCAGAATCTTCCCAGGTATTGAGGCCAGGCTGATAGGTCTGTAGTTTCCTGGATCTATGTTTTCCCTTTTTTGTAGATGGGAATTACATCAGCTCTTTTCTAGTCCTCCGGTGCTCCAGGATCTTTGAAAAATATAGTTCAGTGGTTCTGAGATCACATCTGCCAGTTCCTTGAGAACCTTGGGGTGTAATCCATCTGATCCTAGTGATTTGATCTTGTCTAGGCTGGACAGATGCTCACTTACCATTTTCTTTCCTATCTTAACATGTTTCTAATCTGTTTTTTATGGTATTGTTTTTGATAGGTTGGACTGTTTTTTCCCTTTATGTAAAGACAGATGCAAAAAACGAGTTAAATAGTTCTGCTTTCTCCCTGTTGCTTGTCACCTTCTTGCCACTTTCCCTCACTAATGGGCCAATCATTTCTTTCACTTTTTTCTTTTTTTTTACAACTTTTTTTGTTGTTATTTTTGACTTTGGTCGCAAGCCTTAGTTCATTTTGAGCCTTAGTTTTCCTCACTTCATCTTTGCAGGCTTGGGCTATTTGCTGATATTCTGCCTTAGTTATGTGCCCCTCTTTCCACTTTTTATACTTGTCCTTTTTATCTTTCAATTTATCAGAACTAGAGTTCTTTATGCAGCCATGCTGCTTTCTTTTGAGAACTGCTATTTTTCTTCTTTGTTGGTATTGTGCTAGACTGGGCTTTTATTATCTCACTTTTCAAAATTTCCCAAGCTTCTTGAGTTGTTTTCTCCTTGAGGATTTTCATCCATGGAATTCTTCCCAAGCTCTCTCTGAGTTTATTGAAATTAGCTCTCTTAAAGTCCAAGACTCTAGTTTGAATGTGTTCTATTGCTTGTGCTTCCAGAATGTTGAATTCCATTATTGCATGATCACTTCCCTCCAAGGTTCCTGTGGCTTCAACACTTTCTATCATTTCATCTTTGTTAACGAGGATTAGATCCAATATGGCTAATCCTCAAGTTCCCTTCTCTACTTTTTGGGAGACAAAATTATCTGCTAGGTTTGTCAGGAATCTGTTTGATCTTCCACTTGGTGCAGAGTTTGTCTCCCAGTTGATGGCAGGGTAATTAAAGCCCTCCATTACTATTGTGATGTGCTTCCTACATACTAAGGTTAGCTGACATACTTAGTTAGCTGACTAGCAAAAAGTTCATCTATTTCCTCTGTTTGATTGGGTGGCCTATAGTATACACTTATGGCAATGTCATTTCCCTCCCCCTTTTATATTGACCCAAATGTATTCAAGACAGTTTTCATCATTGTTGGCTCTATTTCTGTAGAGATGTAGTTATTTCTTATATAGAGAGCAACTCCACCTCCTCTTTTATTTGGTCTGTTTCTTTTAAATAATTTAAATTCCTCTAGCTGTGTGTTCCATTTGTGGGTTTCATCCCACCATGTTTCCGTAATGGCAACAATATCATATCTGCCCTCATTTACTTCAATTTCTAGTTCACCCTATTTACTGTGCATTGGTGTATAGACATTTGAGTCCTTTATGACTGACCCTGTGTTTATTTTCTACATAACCTGTGTGGTGCCTGAGTTCCCCTATTTTCTTACCACCTGTTTGGTTAGTGCATTTTGTGTGGCACTCGCTATTAAAAGCTTGATTTTGCTTGACAGCAAGGTTGATATTCTTGTCCACACACACATCTATGTTACATGCATTGATAACCCTATAATTTTTAGATTGCTAGGGACAGGGATGTTTGTTTCAATTAACTCACTGTCCCCATTGTTTAAATATTCCTCCAGAAAATCTGTGAATTTATTGCCAAGTAACTCAGTCTCTTTCTTGGATGGATGCAAGACTGATGTGTAATACCTGATTCGCACTTCTCCCTGTCAAAAATAAGTTCTTCATCTCGGACCACGATCCCCTGCTTATTTGAGTTATCATCACAACTACTTTGACCTGTCTCCTTAATGTCCCTATTAAGGTCAGCAAGGGCACTGTATCTGTTAGCAGGGACACAGCGAAATGCTGTAGTAGCAAAATCTTAGCAAATCTGAATGCGCTTCCCCCCTCCCTCTCTGTGCCTTTGTGTAAATTGGGGGGGGGGCTTGTCTAAGAGGTTTACTCACATTACATTTTGGCTCAGGCTTAGGGTTCTTTTACCAGACTTTTGCCTTGGGAATGGCTCTTTCTCCTATCTTTAAGGCCATTCCTTCTGCCTTCTACACAGATCACTCCATCCATCCTGTAATGAAGTGAATTTTGAAATAATGTTATTGAAATAATATGTTTATTTTTATAGTTTTATTTGCACTATGACAAACAGGTAGATTCTTCAGGAAACATTGTAAATATGACACCCAGAGCCCTTGCACACATGACATTTATGCTCATCTGGCCTGAACACTATATCATTTTGTTTCCAGAGTGCTATCTCCAGGTATTGAAATTTATCTCCTCCTTATTCAGGTGCAGCATAGGTCAAATTGCAAAACTTCCAATCTGAAGTGATCCTGGAGGCAAGCCATTTTCTATTCAGATTCTACACATGCCTCATCTCCTTCTCTTGAGACTTGCTAGTAAATTTACCTCATCTCTGCCTGAACTTGTTAGTAGGTTTCAGTGGCAACCTTAATTGTTCAGTCAGTTTCTTCTCAATATCAGAACACTCTTATGTAAACAGCATACACTGAAATCTTCTCTTATTTTCTCCATCTTCAAGTAGGACATTACCTTCCACCTTAGCCTCCTAAGAGCTGTACCCTGAAACTTGTAAACATGATGAGGAAAACCTTGAATAGCTATGCTGTCATCCAATCATTGCAGTATTAGTGAAATTTATATACAAGAAATATATTATACCATACTCAGCTTGTGTGAAATAGCCAGTTATGGTTTGTACACACTACAAAGCATGGGGACAGGGAGGGGGCTAATAATTTATATTTTCTTATAATGTGAAAGTGAATAAAATACTCTTTTCTATGAGCATTTCCTTCTGCCCTTACTATGAGAATTTCCTTCATCTGGAAGTAGGGCACAGACTCACTTTGGGAATTTTGCATTTCTATTGCTGTCTGAAGGGAGTACTGGTTGATTTGAGGCATTCTTGTCCATTCCAAAGTCAACAGCAGTGAAGACAATTGTACTACCATTGTTTGTATCTTCAAAATGCCTTGGAGGACTGGTAGTGAAAATAGTTGCTGCCATTGGAAAATACAGTAGAGGAAAATTGAATAGGGCATTTTAACTACACAGGTATCTCCCTCCGTCATGGTTTTCAAGATAATTAATTTTTTGTTGATTTTTGTCCCCAGCATACTATATTAGCACAGGTACATATCTCTAGGCAGTTTGAATAGAATAGAATAGAATAGAATAGAATAGAATAGAATAGAATAGAATAGAATAGAATAGAATAGAATAGAATAGAATAGAATAGAATAGAATAGAATAGAATAGAATTCTTTTATTGGCCAAGTGTGATTGGACACACAAGGAATTTGGCTTTGGTGCATAAGCTCTCAGTGTACATACAAACAACAAAGTGATAGGTCATAGATCATAAATCATAGTTACAATCATTAATCATAAGATACAACCATCAAGTGATAAATCATAAGATTCCAATAGGAGAAGATAGTAGGAAAGATAAGAAAATGAGAAAGATGAGAAGATGAGAAGGATAATACCAATATAGCCTATTACTTGGGTAAATATATTTAGACCTAAGACAGTGCTGTGGGAATTAGGTGTTCAGCAGAGTGATGGTGCAGAGGGAAAAATGTCACTGCCATTGTTACATTTTGATTTTATTTATGAATTGCCTATGAATGTTGTCATAGAAGTACAGGTAGTCCTTGACTTATGATCACAATTGGGACCAGAATTTCTATTACTAAGCAAGGAGGTTGTTAAGTGAGTTTTGCCCAATTTTATGATCTTTTTCCATGGTTGTTAAGTGAATCACTCAAGTTGTTAAATGAATCATGCGATTGTTAAGCGAATCTGGCTTCCCCCATTGACTTTGCTTATTGTAGGCTAGCTGGGAAGGTCGCATATGGCAATCACATGACATCAGATGCTGCAATCATTGTAAATACATGTCAGTGTCCATGTTTTGATCATGTGACCATCAGAATGCTCTGACAATTGTAAGTGTGAAGATCAGTTGTAACTCATTTTTTTCAGGACCATTGTAACTTTGATCAGCTGCTAAATGAATGGTTGTAAGTCTAGGACTATCTGTAAAATCTGAAGTAGCAAGTAGATGGGGAATCAGTATGGCAATTAGACTATTTGATATGCAAAGAGATAAACTATTGAAATATTTTCAGTACCTGTATAACAAAGTTATTATGGCTTGTATTGATAATTACATTCCTCTCAAAGTGTTTTATATAAAGAACATTTATTTTTTTAAAACTTAGCTACATATACCAAAGTTTAAAAGTATGTTCTTAATTGCTAGGTTTATTATATTGTGCTACATCACAGTAATTGTTTGAGAGATAAGGTACATTTCATAATTTATAATTTACTAAGGGTAAATGAATCCACAGAGCAGCTAATTTGTAAGGTTGATGGTGAGATAGCAGTTAATGTAGATCATTACAACCTGGTTTGTAAATTACCTATTAATACATATACAATTTATTTTTGTTACTTCTAATTGAAATTGTAATTATAGTTAATAGAAGTGAATTTTGAAAATGCAAATTATTACATATTAAGGATTAGTTATCTAACTGATAATAACATGCTTGTCTCAGTCATTTCAATCCAGAAGCCTGGTGTGTGCTCAAATATAACCACAAATTCTTATAAAAGTGTAATTTTTACAGATTTTATCAGTGTAGTTCAGTGTTATCTTCACAACATTTCACATGTGCAGATGAATCCAGATCAGTTTCTCTTCTGAAACCCTTTAGCTCATCTTCTCTTTTAGTTCAGTTTCATCCACTGAAAGGAATGATGTTAGAAACCTCTGGTTTAGGCTTTTGATTCATTATGAAAAAAAAAACCTTATAATAGCATTCTTGCAGGTACCAGCTGATCCAATGAAGCTTTATCACAACATCTATTTTTGCCTGGGTTGCAAAAAATATCTACCTTCTACTAGTTTTGCCATATCTGTTAGTTCTTGCACCATCGGCCGGTGCCGTCTTTGCTGCAAGCTGGACAATGAGGCTCGTAAGAGGGAAGCCTTTTTGAAGTACAAACGGATGCTCCGAAATCTTAGAGAGTCTGAAATGAAATACAGCGATGGTGCTAAGATTGCCTTTATACTTCAGGTATGCAGTATATAGAAGATAATAATACAAAAGAAAAACATGTAGAAGACATAAAACTGGTAGGATTTTTATTCTGTCAATACAGTACAAAAGAAATAGTTTAAATACAGTAATCCGGGTCTCTTGCCCGTGGTTTACATCAGAGCTGCTGTCACTACTTTCTATATAGATTCATCTTAACTTCCTCATAAATGACTTTAAACCTCAAGGCGATGCAAACTTTATAGTAGATAAATTTGTGAATATTTTGAGCCATAGTGATTTAAAGCATGTTTGGTTTTGTTTATTTTTAGGGTAAAAAGGTAAATAATACGCTATGTTCACCAAATTTAATAATTGAAACATATTAAGTACAATTTAACATTAAATTGGATTAGATGATAAAGTTCCAGAATTAAATTGTATTACTTAACAGCAATTACATATTTATCCACAGTTATAAATAGAATTTCAAGTTGCTGCATTTTAGTTAGTGAAATACATCCTGTGCTGAAAATAATTAAGTAGAATTTAAAACAAAAATTGTATTATTTGGGAATCTCATTTTCATAGAAAATATATCTGTATCTGAATGCAAAAAAATATAAAATAATTATTAATATTAAGAAATAGCAATATGTTCTATGTTTGCTTATTAAGCTGTGTACTGTTTTAGAAGGCACTATAATATGTATAATGAGCCCTATTTATTTCATTTTAAAAACAGAAATGAATTGGTCCCAAGTGAATTTTCCATTTAAAACTCATCTAGTAAAATGCATTGCCTGTTTGCATAGTCTTACATTATTCAATGCCCCTGCATCAAAGCATTATGATTGGAGAGTCTTGATATAAATCACATCTTTTTACATCACATCTTTTCTCTCTTTACCTTTTCCTTCATATCTGGGGAGAAAATTGATCTGTTTTTGATTTGTTTCATTTGAAAACTAAATCACTATGAAAGCTTCAGGAAAATTTAGATTCTGTTTTGCATTGATGAGTCTTGTTTCAATTTATTGAGATATCTCTATAATTTGTCTATATAAGATTCAATTCAAAATGTATCTGAATCTAAAGCATATTCTTGATAACAATTTTTTGTATGCATTAATGGAAATCTGGTGGTAATGATACTTATCTTTATAAGTACATTGCTGAATTAATTATTTATGTCCCTGGACTGAACCTAATCAAATCAATTTATTAAGAAACACTTTTTCTCAAATCATGTGGCTATATTTATTCTTCAGGTCCGTTATCACAACATTCATTAATGTAATTGAAGTTTAAGGCAACCTTATGCTGTATGTTATGATATTTCACAGTTGCGAAACTATATATGTGATATTATCTCATTTTCTCATGATGATTAATAAAATCAGTCCTGTGATTAAAATATACATTACCAATAATTATATTTATTTATTTACTTATAATTTTAAAGCCAGTGTGACGTGCCAGCTATTTATATAGTGGAAAATACACTATACTATAAAGTATTTAAGCTATACTAATGTTGCTTATATGGATTATGTCATTTTAGGTATAAAATTGCTGAGTTCCAGGTTAGAACTCTTTTTTTGTAAATATACTAAAAATCTGAATTTCCAGGTTGGAAATTCAGACTTTTAATATATTTGCAAAAAAGAGAGAAATTCACTGGTAGTGGAATATTACAAACTTCAAATTTAATTAAGTACTATTTCTATTTGTGAATGCCGATCATTAATTCTTTACTAACAGCATGGATTTGGGAAGTGGCTAGCAGCAAGAAAATGTTCTAACAACAAATTGATAATCAAGCAAGCTGTCAAGAGAGGAAGTAGAAATAGCCATCTGCATAAAAACCTTACAATAAATGTCTAAAAACCTGTATTTGAGGCAATACGTCTTTTGGCATAAATAAACTGATTGTGTGTTATCACAGCCTTTGCAGAAAGAAAGAGAGGGGAGAAATACTTTCCTTGAGAACATTTTAATCTGTAATTAAAATGTAGTGACTATGTGTGGCATACAATAGTAGTCATTCAAAGCAACAACTTTATAAATGTGGTAAGTTTTGAAGTTAACTTTTATTATTTCTTTTTCTCCTCTTGTTTTTATATTGCAGCTCCAAGATTTACACTACATGGTGGAACATTTCTGGGATTCCCAGTCAGCTCTTAGTGCTTGGGATGATCTGTATGATTTGGTCATGATTAGGTGGAATAAGTGGCAAGAATGGTCGCCCTGGAACACTATTCTCCTCAAAGAGGATGAAGCTGAAGCTCATCTTAAACTAAATGATCTTGAGACGGTATTAATTTAAATGTGCCACCCCACAAACATGAAATATATATTTAATAAATAAATTCAATCCAGTAAAGGGTGGGAAAATCCCATAAAGTATGGTACTATTGAAATCCTTCAGATTCAATTTTAAAAAGGCACACAGGAACACAGAGGTAGCATAGAATGTGTGCTTTGTTATGCAGATTGTTTGACAGGTATTCCACTTTGGAATGTATACAGTAGTTCATGACTTAAGACTACAATTGGGACCAGAATTTCCATGGTTAGGGTGAATCATACCCCAGTGAAGTGAATCATGTAGTCATTAAGCAAATCTGGCTTTCCCAATTGACCTTGCTTATGAAAAATTTGCTGGAAAGTTTTCTGATGGAAATTGCATGACCTCAGGATGCTATAACCCACGGGTATCAAACTCGCCACGTCACGTGATATGTCCTGATGTATCGTGACTTTTTTTGCATTGCCAGAGCTAGGATGGGCGCAGCCTCTGCATGATGCAACCGGCCTGTGGGCCGGCAGTTTGACACCCCTGCTATAACCATTGTAAATACATGCTGGTTACCAAGTGCCCAAATTTTGATCACATGACTGTGGGTATGTTGCAATGATCCTAAGTGTGAGGACTGGTTGTAAGTCACTTTTTCAGTGCCATGCTAACTTTGAATAGTCAGTAAACAAATGGTTGTAAATCAAGGTCTACCTGTATAAATCTCTGTATGTATATACATTTATATCACATTGTTTATGAGTGCTTTTGAGTGTTTTGCATGCTTATTGCTTTGCATTAAGGAGCAAAAGTGGGAAAATAAATTGGTTGCTTTATTTATTAATATAGTTTAATAGCTGCAAAACTACAACAATTCTGGCTGGCTTACAATTAAAAAATGAGAACAATTCAAAAAGGATTGGAGAAAAAACTATGACTAGTCTAAAGACAGACTTATAAACAAAGGAAAAACAACCTATCTAACAGGAACTAAACTATCACCCCACCCCAAGTCCTGGGAAAATAGCTAGGTCTTTAATAGCTTCCTAAACATCATCAACCATCTGAATTTCTGGGAATATTATTTCAGCGAGTAGACTCCGTGATAGAGAAGGCATACCTCCTGAGTCTTGTTAGATGACATGCTTTATTGATGGGACCCAAAGGGTAGCTACTCTATCTGGTCTCACTGGACAGAAAAAACCAAAGGTAGGTAGACGCCACAAATAACAAGACTCTATATTATGAAGAGCATTTTGAATCATACCCTAAAGTCAACTAGTAACCAGAACAGTTCTCAAAACTGCATAAAAAATATGACCAATTGCGTCATCTTCCATCTTCTCCCTTGTGTCATGTTGATTCCTGTGGGAATTAGGGGGTCCTCAGCCTCAGCCGCCTTCCCCATGTTTGCTGCCCAGTGAGACTTTAGTCCCTGGTATGGAACATCCTGCAGCTGCTCTCTTAGGCTCACTGCTTGCAACTCTGGCTTTTCAGCCCTCAGTTTGGAACACGTGCCTGCCAGCTGCACCTCTGCCCCAGTCTGCAGCACCACTGAGGCTTCTTGAGCCAGGTGCTCCTCCGGCTTCTTCTCTTTGATTCTTTGCCTGTTGCCAACATCTTGGGTCTTTGGGCTTCCAGTGGGATCCAGGTAGGCACTACTGTAAGAATTGACTAATGTCAAATGTCCCATTTGGCACATTCAACAAAAGAAACTCTCGGCTCTTTTAAATTACCACGAGTGTAGCTTTATTGAAAGATCCATCTAGGTCAGGGGTAGGCAACCTCGGCTCTTTTATGACTCATGACTACAACTCTCATAATTCCTGAGTCAGCATAGTCAGTTCTGGGATTTTCCTGTGAAAACCCACATAGATAAAACCCCTTTTTCCCCTCTGGGCCATCCACAGTTCATAATTCACCAATTGGGTTCAGTTCTTTTGTTTTGGGAAAAGACTGTCTGCACCACTCAAACATTTCATAACTTGACCTTGGTGGATAACATATTGCCCGCAACAGAAGGCTCTCTTACATTCCAGACCTTCCCTCCCCCGTTAGGAATTCTCTCACCGCTCTCCCTTGCTGTTTGGCAAACTACAAGCAACAACAGGTGCAACTATGGAGTTGAGTCGTATTTGACAAGGAGTACTGAACTGAAAAGTTTTGAAAACATTTCACTTCTCATCCAAGATGCTTCTTCAGTTCTGGAGAACTAAAGAAGCTTCTTGGATGAGAAGGGAAACGTTTTCAAGAGAAAAAAACACAAGAAAGTCCAGTTGCCTTTTGAACAGCACCTTTGGGATTCCAAATCAATCATTTTAAAAAACTGAGCAGGAATTAATCACAACCTAATAACTTGTACCCATTTGTTAACATCTGCAGTAGTTCATTGTAAATGGCATTGCATCTCTGAGCTAATCAACTCTATGGGTTATCTTTTTAAAAACACAAAATGATTATTAGTTTTTTTATTTAAAAATTAATGCCATCCATAGTTTAAGAATTTGCTATGCCAATATATAACCAATCAAAACATTTTCTATTTTTCTTTTCTTTCAGGCTTATGAGAAGGTGTTCATTCACCGAGTAAGGCACAAACAAATGCTTGCAAGGAATTATTTCTCTCAGTTCCCAGAACTGGCAGCTGCTCTTCATAAAAGTGACAAGCAAACTAACACAGAAGATCTTTCAGTAACAAAGTCTGTAACAACTGCTTCATCAAAATAACACTTATAGAAAAGTTTAGAACTGTTCTCTTAAAAGAAGAGAACATTGCTTGAAAAGCTGGCCTGATCATGAGCTTAAAGAATGTTTGTTTGCATGCCCTAGATTTTTCTTTAAATTGTATTGCCAAAAATTCAACTTAGAACTTCATTTCCAATTCATTATTGTTACACTGCACTTGCCTCTTTCACATATACCTCTTTGGTATATAATATACAAAATGCTTTTAGTCATTTTTTTCTCTTTAAAGAAAGAATATTTTGGCACGCTAGCCAAGTCTTAAGTAACAACTTTAAAAGACAATTTTAAACTAGAGAGCTGCTATTTTTTTTCAAGAATGCCTGCATATGAGACCTGGCACATATTAAAGACCTTGACTTTCTTAAAGAGATTCTACTTCGATACAAAATAAAATGGAGTACATTTATACACACACACACACACACACACACACACACACACACACACACACACACACTTATGGCCAGCACTATCACTTTTTATTGTAACACAGCAGATTAGGTATAATACAATTTATTGAGGCAACAATGAAAAAAGATGTCAAAGGTTAAGTTATTCATTTTTTCTTACCTTTACTCTCTATCTTCTTATTATCAACATCTTAGAGAGTAAATTCAAATAGAAGTCAAACAGCCATGGTTGAAGACATTTTAAAGATTTATAACTATTTTGTGTGGTTTTCATAATATTTATATACTAATATGGACATAGACTAATACCTTGGTTCTTCAGTAATCCAATTTATACATATTACATAATAGATCAATTTTTAATTGCTGGAAGCATCCGAGTAAAATATGGACAATTGCAAGGAGGTATTAAATCTATTCAGTTGTATAAGCATCATAAATATTACCAGCAACTGCATAAAGCATCATAAAATTGTGTTCAGCCATCAGACTATTACTTGTTTGGAAAATATTTTTCAAAATTAATTACAGGAAAAGATCACTGCTATTTTAGAAGAGTGCAGAGACATTGCCTATATCTAGCAAACCAGCTGATAGTGTTTTCCCTTAAAAGTAAGGTTTTGTCAGGTACAAACTCCCTTTAAAATTTCTCTCAGAGGTGTTTATATTAATGATACCAATAAGGATTCATCAGTATCAACAATTTAGGCAGCCATAGACCATCGTTTCAAATAATGGGAGCATGTTGATCAATGTTCTCACATAGTGACTCTCTTGATGGCAGGTGAACAATAAAACACTCTGTCATAGAGGAAATGTGGTAAAATTTCTTCCCACACTCTTTCCTCACAATGCTTTTTACCTTCTCTCTTTTCTCTTTTTTTTCTGGACAGTCAGGCAGACGCAAACAAAGCACTGGCTCAAATAATCCATTCCCTCCTCCTAAACATATATCTGGTCTATGTGAATCCAGAGTCATTCTTGTAAATCATATTAAGGTAGAGGCAATTACTTTGTTTTGCAGTGTGCCTGCTTTCTATTTAATTAAAAGAACCTGTAAACAATTATAATCAGAGGAGGTAGGCACCCTGGTGGCTGCTAAGTGATGCATCCAAACACATTGATGTCATAAGCATTATCTTGCATTCCTTTCTTTTAGGTCCATTTGGGAAATACACATAAGGCAAGTTACAACCACAACCAAACATCAGGGCAACTTAATTGTCTTCTACTGTTTCTGTGATATCTACTTAATATATATCAAAACTTTAAATTGTAGAACAAGAACTTTTAACAAATGTTGGTGGCTGCCTTTGCACACTATCTATGTTTCTCTGTTACTTGGAAACAATTCTTGTATGACATATACAAGGAATAAAATTCTTGACACAAAATACACAATGAAAAAGTCTTTTTGTGTATGTAGTCTTCTGCTGATATTCGGGTTATACACAAGAGACTGTATTACTTTTTATTGACATCTTCATCCAACAGTCCTAAACATTTCCCATGGAAAGCCTACTACCCATTTTATAATAAAGACCTTTGTGTAAGAAAGCAAAACAAAAATGTTTTCCATAGAAAATTAATAAAAATACTACAAATTAGTCATCACATTGGATTGATTAGTTTGCTATAATCGCATGTTGCATTTATCTTTTTCTAAGCACATCTTGAATTAACTAAACTTTTAAAGATTTTCCTAAGAAAAGAAATTATTGTGTTTAGCCTGGAATATTTAAGAAGCATCTTTTTGTTGTTTGTAAGATTTAACAGAACATCACTATAAAGAGCACTTTAAATAAAATATTTACATATCAACAATGTAAAGTTTTGAAATACAACTTATATATTGACCAGAGTGAAGGGAGAAATATATTTTGGAAATATATGAAGTACATATTGTCAAAATATTCTTTATATGATTTACTAGATTCTCTTGGGGATGTTACCAGTTTTGTCTTTTATCATTTTTTTCCTTTCATTTCTTTCAAGGTAAGTAAAAATGGGTATTATAATCCATTTACAGTTAAATGAACAGTCATACACAATAGCAGGTTCTCACTGCCTCATTCAGAATGAGAAGGGACTTGGAAGAACTGTTGTGTATTTGCAATGTCAAACCAGCAATGTTTTCAATAGGAATGTGAATGAAAGTGTTTTGTATAATACACGCATGCCTTTCTCAAAAGCTAATAACTTTTTTATGGGACTTGCCAGGTATACTATATAAATGGAGATGTTCTAATATCACCATTTGGATGCATCATTTAATCCAATGTATTGGACTTAGCATGGTGTTTCTAACTCTTGTGATTGAAAAAAAATGTAGAGAAACAATTTGGCAGCATTTTAATTGCCAAATATTCAGTACAGACCTGGATTCTTAAACACAAAGGCCTTAAAACAAGTTCTAGTTCTGTTTTTGCATTCACTTTTTAGCATAAAATACAGTGTAGCATCTGGTTAATTAGGATTTTCATTTATCAAATATGCCTATAAAAGAAATAATTGGTTAAGTACATTATCTAGACTTTCATTTTAGAACTATGAAAATTGAAATCTAAAAGCAGATTTAATGACAAAAGAATATTTCAAAATCTAATCTTGCCATAAAATCTGTTTTCTTAATATGCCAGTTGTATTTTATATTATACATCTTCTTTTAAAAAGCAAAAATATCCATAAATCATCAATTTTTACAGCAACATCTTTGTTATCCCAATTTAGAATAATTTTGTCATTGTATCACCTGAATTTGATGTCAACAAGCATTTGCAGTCAAAATAATTTACATTAGGAATGTAAACACAGCTGCAGGATATATGTCAGTACCCAAAAAAGGATCTGCAAAATAATTTTCTTTTTCATCTAAGTGATTAAGGTTGCAAACTCTGGAAAAACAAAATTCTGGAAATCTTAATTCTGAGACTCCATCACAGTAGACTGCCCCACCTAACACCTCAAAAATCTAAACAGAGTCAGACCTGATTAATACTTGCATAGCATAATACCAGTAATTTGCCAACTGAGGAGCAAAGGGGAGGAGGAGAAGTGTAAGAAGAATGTTAAACCAATTATATATATTAGGTACATGGTCAGACTTGTGCTCTTGTGTGAGCAGGGGTTAGATTAGATGACCTCCAAGGTCCCTTCCAGCTCTGTTACTGTTACTCTCCTAGTTGATTTTTATGCAGACGTTTCATTATCCAAACTAGGTAACTCATCAGTGCCAGCAAGGAGTGAGATTTGCTAGTCCTTACTAGCATTGATGATGTTACCTAGTTTGGATAATGAAACATCTGCATAAAAACAACTAGGAAAGCACCAAGGACCCCTCATTTCAACCCTGGGCTACAAATATTCTCCTATATTCTTGTAGATACCAGGAAGTGAGCTAAATTCAAAGGTGTCTTTACATTTTAGTGTCATTCCCAGGTGAAAGCCCAAGTGAAAATGGGATGGCCCACTTAAAGATGGATTGCATGTGCCTGTAATTCATTTCCCACTAAACAGTATATGCATTCCAAATATTATTTTACCAATTTGTTCCCTGCATAAATACAACAGATTATATTCTCATGGTAGTCATATGTACATCACTGCAATTCACTGTATCCAATTCAAGCTACAAATCAAAGTCAAGCTTCCTGAGTTAAACAGCTGAGCCGAGCCTAGGCACCAATAATGATAAATACATATGCAGTGAAGGGATTCTGCAGTTAAAAGGAAATGACTGGGAAATACAGAAGTTAAAGAACAATGAACCTATGATAGAAAAGGTAGATCACAAAAATAATCCCTCAAAGAAATGAACTAACCACCCATTGTTCTTTTTTCTCTCCACCCTGTACTCCCTTTTATTGGGATGTAATCTGGGCGACTGAATGAAGCCGAGCATTTACTAGCTAGATGCCCTTCCTGACTCAAACACGAGTTCACAACAGATATTTTCTCTTTGTGCCTTGATAGAGAAATATCTATCTCTGCCTAGGATTGAACTCTCAACTTCCCAAGTGTGAGATGTGTGAGTGTGTGATGAGTGTCTTCATCTCTAGGCCACCACACTGCTCTGAACCAACCACCCCTATGTTGATCCATACATAGATCCCGTCCCTTTCTTTTTTAAACATCAAAACTTCACCTGAACAGAAGTAGATGTCACATTCACACAGAATAACTCTGCAGGAGGTAGGGACCTACAGGGCTTTGATTCATAAGACCACAGATTTGGACAGGCATCTAGCAAGTCTGTTTGATTCCGTTTTCCTCCTCCATTTTCATAGAAGCTCTATAGTTGCAACTCTACAAACACAATAAATGTTTAATCATATATGGGAAATGTATGGAGGAGAACCAAAGAAAAGAATTCAGAAGTAATTCAATAAAAGTAAGAATAAGACAAATGTAATTTTTTAAAAAAGTAGTTGATTTTGGTTGGGATAGAGAATACATATGAAGTGAAATAGAAGAACTATGAGGACAGATTTTATTGGGATAGTAGGTGGTTTTTTTAGCAGCCTAGAGATGTTATATGGCACTAGGTCTGTCTTATCTAACCCATCAGGCTTTGTAAATGGTAATGCAGCATTTACTATCGAATTTTCTGCATTTTATTTCTTTGATTTTATCTCCACAGCATATCTGCACACATAAAAACAGGTGTATATTTCTGGAAAATGTTTTGTGTATTTGATAAATAGGGAGCATCAATGGAGTGTGTGAAAAAGTTAAGATGATAGCCACAAGTCTATGGTTTAAGCCCCATAACCTTTTATATGTGCTACCATTTTAACCCTTTCTGCTCCCCATGATGCTCCTGTGAACACAATGCTCATCAGTTGTGAAGTTGCCAGAAGCATTTTTGCTTATTTTTATTATGCTACATTGGCTGTAAATCATCCTTTTAAATAAAAATCCCCATAGCTGGGGATTATGATAGCCAAAAATTGACATGAATAGAGAACATCATAATTGGGAAAGACTATTTAAGCAATTAATTTATGGGAAATTAACCAAGAAACAATTAAGAATCCACTAATCCTTCTCTCAACTATATCAACATTTATGCCACTGCTTTGCCCTAACACTTTTAGTTCCATGTTGTTCTCTTCATTCCAGAATTCCTCAGACAGTTTTGCTTCCCTATATTTTTCCATATGGAAATATTAATATATGGAGTATAACTCTCCTTTTATTACTTTCTGGAATCTCTTTTCCAATTTCTCCTTTTTTGGTTTGGGTTTCTTTCTCAGAAGTTTTGACTCAGACTGAAGACAGGGCCTGAGAATGGAGTTATGGCTACTACAATACTCTTTCAATGCTTCCAAGCAGGGTTTTGATGTTATTTGGGAACAAAGTAGAAGGGAAAGTCTAGATATAAAATTATTTTGCCCAAAAAGGTTGGAACTACCTAAAGATTAATTTCTAAAAAGGATAGGAAATTTAGTATTTTTCCTTACAAATTAAATGGTAAGTAGATTTTTATATAGGAAAATGCGGCAACATGTTTGAAATTTTAAAAGCTATGTTCTACTGAACATCTATGATGCTGTAAATCTTCTTTCTTCTTAAAATCAAATTATTACTCATTTGTGGCACTATAGGCACAATTATTGGACTTTTTAAAGAATAACTTAATCTGGCACCATAATCTGATACTATCATCACTACCACCACTGTTGCTCTAACAGTTATATATCCAATGCTCCATCTCTTCTGTTATTATAATATGGTGTAATGATATACAAATTGCATATAAACACAATATATACTGGTTCTATTCATTGCTGGGTATCCCCAGGAACAGCAACTGCACTGTAATATATACTGATATAATTGCACTACAAGAACAAAAAGGAGGACATCTTGTAGTATATAGGCATCAGATAATTATCTTGCTTAGGTGAACACTATTTATCTGGTCCTAAACTAGAGCTGCTAATGTTGTTGTTGTTGTTAATTGCGAAGTCGTGTCCGACCCATCGCGACCCCATGGACAACGTTCCTCCAGGTCTTCCTGTCCTCTACCATCTTCTGGAGTCCATTTAAGTTCACACCTACTGCTTCAGTGACTCCATCCAGCCATCTCATTCTCTGTCGTCCCCTTCTTCTATTGCCCTCAATCTTTCCCAGCATTAGGCCTTCTCCAGTGAGTCCTTCCTTCTCATTAGGTGGCCAAAGTATTTGAGTTTCAACTTCAGGATCTGGCCTTCTAAAGAGCAGTCAGGGTTGATCTCTTCTAGGACTGACCGGTTTGAACTCCTTGCAGTCCAAGGGACTCGCAGGAGTCTTCTCCAGCACCATAGTTCAAAGGCCTCAATTATTTTGTGCTCAGCCTTTCTTATGGTCCAACTTTCACAGCCATACATTGCAACTGGGAAAACCATGGCCTGGACTATATGCACTTTTGTTGGCAGGGTGATGTCTCTGCTTTTTAGTATGCTGTCTAGATTTGCCATAGCTTTCCTCCCCAGGAGCAAGCATCTTTTAATTTCTTGGCTGCAGTCCCCATCTGAGGTGATCTTGGAGCCCAGAAAAAATAAAATCTGTCACTACCTCCATTTCTTCCCCATCTATTTGCCAGGAATTGAGAGGGCCAGATGCCATGATTTTGGTTTTCTTAATGTTGAGTTTCAAGCCTACTTTTGCACTCTCCTTCTTCACCCACATCAAGAGGCTCTTTAGTTCCTCTTCACTTTCTGCCATTAGAGTGGTATCATCTACATATCTTAGGTTGTTGATATTTCTCCCGGCAATCTTAATTCCAACTTTTGATTCATCTAGCTCTGCCTTTCTCATGATGTGCTCTGCATATAAGTTAAATAGGCAGGGCAACAGTATACAGCCTTGCTGGACTCCTTTTCCAATTTTGAACCAATCAGTGGTTCCGTGTCCAGTTCTCACTGTTGCTTCTTGACCCGCATATAAGTTTCTCAAGAGACAAATGAGATGGTCTGGTACTCCCCTCTCTTTAAGAACTTGCCACAATTTGTTGTGATCCACACAATCAAAGGCTTTTGCATAGTCAATGAAGCAGAAATAGATGTTTTTCTGGAACTCCCTAGCTTTCTCCATGATCCAGCATATGTTGGCAATTTGATCTCTAGTTCCTCTGCCTCTTCGAAATCCTGCCTGTACTTCTGGTAGTTTTCGATCCACATACTGCTGGAGTCTAGCTTGTAGGATTTTAAGCATAACTTTACTAGCATGTGAAATGAGTGCAATGGTGCGATAGTTTGAACATTCTTTGGCATTGCCTTTCTTTGGAATTGGAATGTAAACTGACCTTTGCCAATCCTGTGGCAACTGTTGAGTTTTCCAAATTTGCTGGCAAATTGAATGTAGCACTTTTACTGCATCGTCTTTTAAGATTTTGAATAGCTCAGCTGGAATACTGTCACCTCCACTAGCTTTGTTGTTGCTCAGATTTTCTAAGGCCCATTTCACTTCCCATTCTAGGATGTCTGGTTCGAGGTCAGTGACCATCTCATTGTGGTTATCTGGGACGTTAAGTTCATTCTTGTATAGTTTTTCTGTGTAGTTTTGCCATCTCTTCTTAATCTCTTCTGCCTCTGTTAGGTCCCTGCCATTTTGGTCCTTTATCATGCCCATCTTTGCATGAAACTTTCCCTTCATATCTCCAATTTTCTTGAAGAGATCTCTGGTCCTCCCTATTCTGTTGTTTTCTTCTATTTCTTTGCACTGTTCATTTAAGAAGGCATTCTTATCTCTTCTAGCTATTCTCTGGAATTCTGCGTTCAATTGGGTGTATCTTTCTCTTTCTCCTTTGCCTTTCGCTTCCCTTCTTTCCTCAGCTATTTGCAAAGCTTCCTCAGATAGCCATTTTGCTTTCTTGCATTTTCTTTCTCTTTGGGATGGTTTTAGTTGCTACATCTTGTACAATGTTGTGAACTTCCTTCCATAGTTCTTCAGGCACTCTGTCTATCAGATCTAATTCCTTAAATCTATTTGTCACCTCTACTGTATATTCATCAGGAATACGATTTAGTTCATACCTGAGTGGCCTAGTACTTTTCCCTACTTTTTTCAATTGAAGCCTAAATTTTGCAACGAGAAGCTCATGATCTGAACCACAGTCAGCTCCTGGTCTTGTTTTTACTGACTGTATACAGCTTCTCCATCTTTGGCTGCATAGCACATAGTCAATCTGATTTCTGTGTTGAGCGTCTGGTGATGTCCATGTGTAGAGCCGTCTCTTGGGTTGTTGGAAAAGAGTGTTTGTTATGACCATCGTATTCTCTTGACAAAATTCTATTAGCCTGTGCCCTGCTTCATTTTGTACTCCAAGGCCAAACTTGCCTGTTATTCTGGTTATCTTTTGGCTTCCTACTTTAGCATTCCAATCCCCCATGATGATAAGGACATCATTTTTTGGTGTTAATTCTATAAGGTGCTGTAGGGCTTCATAAAACTGGTCAATTTCATCCTCTTCAGCACCAGGGGTTGGGGCATAGATTTGGACTATTGTGATATTGAATGGTTTGCCTTGGATTCGAATTGAGATCATTCTGTCCTTTTGGGGATTGTATCCCAGTATTGCTTTTCCTATTCTTTTATTGACTATGAAGGCTACTCCATTTCCTCTGAGGGATTCTTGCCCACAGTAGTATACCTGATGGTCATCTGAGTTAAATTCACCCTTCCTGTCCATTTTAGTTCGCTGATTCCTAAGATGTCGATGTTTAGTCTTGTCATCTCTTTTTTGACTACGTCTAGCTTGCCTTGATTCATGGATCTTACATTCCAGGTTCCTATGGAGAAAAAATCTTTACAGCATCGGACTTTCCTTTCACCACCAGATATATCCACAGCTGAGCGTCCTTTCGGCTTTGGCCCAGTTGCTTCATTCTTTCTGGCGCTACTAGTACTAGCCCTCTGCTCTTCTCCAGTAGCATATTGGACACCTTCCGACCTGAGGGGCTCATCTTCCAGCGTCATATCTTTTTGCCTTTTAGTACTGTCCATGGGGTTTTCATGGCAAAGATACTGGAGTGGTTTGCCATTTCCTTCTCCTGCTAATAGAGACAGTCTTATTTTCAAAGCCATGTCAAAGCTTGCACTGTGTTTGGATATAAATTCTTTTTCCTGTTGTCATAAAACAGACCTACTCCAGCTATCATAAATAAAAACTGGCCAAAGCCAGAAGCTTCATAACAGATACCAGAATAACCAGTTCCCATCATTTATTTTCCTTTTGAATCAACTTTGGTTTCCTTACCACACAAACACTGAAAAGATCATGGCAAGATGCAGTGCTGTTTCATGGGGACAGCTACTCTATGTATTTCTTTTCCTGTGCAAAGAGACCCTATCCTTGGATCATGTTCCTATGCTGCTGTGGTCAACAGATAGGTAAGAAATTCTCTACTTTTTAAAGATACAGCTATTTTTAGAGATATATTTTGTGCAGCCAGCCTTTCAAGTTCATTTTTACTCCTTACCTGTCATCTCGAAGACAAACTTAAGCACGTTAGAGATGGTATACTTACAAAAATATATTTGGTATGAAGCTTGTCCACCTGGAGACAGCATCTGCTTTGTAGCCCACTAGTTTTAGAAATTTGAGTGATGAGTGATTCCCAAGTCTTAACAGACTGACATTTCTTGGTCTGAGGGATCCATTTGTTCCTATTTAGCATTCAGCTGAGACAATTGTATTTAATAGTCTTTGCAAGTTTTCATTCTAAATATCCTTGTTCAGTGTTTTATCCACTGGCACTAGTAGTGGCAGTGACAGTGTATGTGAGGGTTATCTGGAACTGGAAGACATAACAATTAGGTATTCTTTTAAACTTGTTCTTCTTGATGCTCAGAACATAATGGAAATCTTTGCACTGTTAGTTTAGTGGACCTTCTCAAATATAAACCTAAAAGTTTCCCTGACTCTAAGGCATGGTGCTCATCTCTGTTTCTTGGCCAAGAGAGCCAGTGTTGTCCAAGGATATTTTCCATGGTAATATCTTTGGAATATAGCATAGCTATACGTCAAATGTAATACTGTTCCATATAGCATGGAATACTAGTATCTTCCCACCAAAGTGGTACTTATTAATCTATTTGCATTTGCATATTTTCAAACTGCTAGGTGGGCAGGAGTTGGGGCAAGTAATGGGAACTCACCCCATTGTGCGGAGCTTTGATCTCAAACCTGGGCTGTCAGCCATCCAGCTCATAAGATCAGTATCTTTAACTGCTGAGCCATCACTTCCCAAAGGCTCAGTGATTAAACTATATTCAACTATACCTCTTAGCAAATCCTGATGTGCTGTTCTGTAAACTCAGTCCTAAAATTATTTTTATTACAGAGTAAGAGTAGGAAATTAATATGTTTTATTTATAATGCATTTTCCCCATTATAAATAAACTCTGCAATTAAAATCTTTTCCAAAAGACATCATTATTAAATACTTTAAAGGAGGAATTATTTCAACTCTTGTCTGTCTTTTGTTCTTATATGACAACTGCTAACCTGGATATCAACATAAACAAGTGGAACAATAACTTTTGTCATACAGAGTGACCTTGAGTATAAATCACAAATTACATAGGTCGTTCAAGTTCTAAAGCAAGCCAGAAATTTGCTCTGTGCTGTTTTTCCTCAACTAATCAGGTACATTCCATCTTCAAACCAGTTTATATTTGGAATATCAGATACTAATTTATAACCTAACAGCTGGAATTTTGAAAACCCAACAGCTAATACTAGTAGGTTTTGAAAAGCACATGAAATGGATAGATTGAATAGGGAGGAAGAAACAGGTACCTGTAAAGTATCTTCTGCATTTAGCTTTGTTGAGAACTACTCAGTAAAATATGATAGAGTTCATGGTACTTTCTACCCCAGTGCAATTGTGTAAGGCAAGATTGCCAGCTGCCCATAACACAAGTTTCTATAACACATGTTTTTTTAAAGCCAAATGAAACTCATCAAATGTTGGCTCAACAGACTGGAGACTGGCTCCCCATTTGGGACTACTAGGCTATCAGGTAGAAGTTAGATTTAATGGGATTTAATGTTGATCTATCAATTATTTTTAGGATTTCAGACTTTGCATTTTACTGTGCAGCTTTCAGCTAAAAAAAGAAAAGTTCTGCCAAAGTATGTTGAGATGCATATTTTAGGATAGAATGATAGATGCCTGGAAGCATGTAGTACTGTATGATGAAAAAGAATATTAAAGAATGGAATACTGGAACCAATTATGGTCACCATACTACAAAAAAGATGTTGAGACATTGGAAAAATTTCAGAGAAGAGCAACTAAAATGATCAAAGGCCTGGAGACTAAAACATATGAAGAACGGCTGCAGGACGGGTTTGACTAGTCTAAAGAAAAGAAGAAACAGGAGTGACATGGTATCAGTATTCTAGTATTTGAGGGGCTGTCACAAAGAAGAGGGGGTCAAATTATTCTTCAGAGCACCAGAGGGCAAGACAGGAAACTATGGTTGGAAACTGACCAAAGAGAGAAGCAACCTGGAATTAAGGAGAAACTTCCTAATGGTGAGGACAATTAACCAGTGGAACAGCTTGACTTCAGAAATCGTGGGCACTCCATCACTGGAGGTTTTTAAGAAGAGACTGGATAGTCACTTGTCTGAAATGGTATAGGTTCTTCTACCTGAGCTGGACTAGAATACCTCCAAGGTCCCTTCCAGCTCTATTCTATTCTACCTGAATGCATATTGTGAGAGTTTGCCCATTCAAACATATATGTCAACTGTATGTAAACTCAAAAATGTTCTATGAATTTATAAATTTTTTTTACAAATTTGTCCAGAAATGGAATAGAATTCACTTGGAAATTAACACACGGAAAAATGAGATGAGCCAGAAGAATTTAATGTAATTGAATGCATTAGATTTATTATGGTTTTGGGCGTCTTAAAAAAGAACAGTAAAAATCCAAGGATTAAATGACTAGAGCAGCAAATAGAATAAAAATAAAAAAGGGGTCCAACCAATAAAATAAAAAAAAAAGTTGGTTTGATGTAGTGGTTAAGACTAAGGTTAAAGAGACTGTGGCTGGGTGACAATGGGCCAGTCACTCTCTCTCAGCCCAACCTACTTCAAAGGGATGTCTTTGTGGGGTAAACTAAAGGAGGAAAGAGTATTAGATATATTTGCTGCCTTGAATTATTTAAAAAAGTAATAACTATGGGATAAAAAAATGAAGAAATAAGTAAATCACAGTCATATTAGCCCCTGGCCTAGAATTGGAGCCACCTTCCAGAAAGTCTTAAAGGCTTTCTGGAACTCAAGGATAGAGAGTGCCATCTGTACCTCTGGAGTATAGTTGATCCAGACGTCAGGGACCCCCAGAGAGAAGGCACATTTTTTCAGCCTCACAAGAGGGCAGAATCTATTTGAAGGGTTCTGAAGCCCACACAGAATGTATCTGAATGTATCAGGTGAGGAGATTGATATTGATATTGAATTGCTATTCTAGGCGAGCCAAATTCCATTAATAAAAAAATTGTTATTCCAATGGAATTGTCCATAGAGAGGGAAAAAGTTAGTATGTTAGTTAGTATGGCAACTGTGATTGCATGATCACAAACCTGCCCTTTTAAAATGTGTGCCATGCATGCCACACTTTAAATGATGCAGGGCTTCAATCAGCTGATTACAGCTGCCAAACTGATTTTTTTTTTTTAAATTTTCAATGCAGAAGCCTGCACTCTAGGCAACATGCTAGTTCATCTATATCAGGGATTCCCAACCGGGGGTGCAAGACCATATTCCAGGAGGTGCGAAAACTTAGGTTTAGAAGTTTCAAAATTATAGTGTATATGCACAATTCGTTGTCGTTATTTTGAACTTTTGTAAGGGGTGCGAGAATATATTGAAGCTTTCTAGGGGTGTGGGGTATAGAAAAGGTTGGGAACTGCTGATTATATGAATCAGAAACTCCTGGATTTATTCCTTCTATTTTCTTTCTAAACTGAGAAGACTTTACAAAACTCTAGCTCGCTAGATTCAGTTTCAGTATTTTGTTTATCTTCATCACTGTTTCTCAACCTTGGCAACTAGAAGCTGTATGGACTTCAACTCCCAGAATTCCAGTCATCATGCTGGCTAGGGAATTCTGGGAGTTGAAGTTCACACTTCTAATTACCTATAGTGTTACTAGTTGAGAAATACTAATCTACATATTTTTTTATCCTCATACATAAACAGAAATTTATTATTTATTTAGCATATGGCATATAATACATACGTAGCAATATATATTAACATATAGAAATGTAAGTATTTTTTAAAGTATGGTTCAGTCATACAATATGATTCACTGGAATACATCTCTTATTAAAGATTTAATTGTGAAGCCAAATGCTACCAAATTATTCTAAGTAGGAAAATGTCATCTCTTAATTTTTATTTTTAAAAAAATTACAGGGAGGATAAACTATAAATAGAAAACTCTGATCTTTGTCTCAGGTTTTAACATTTTACAACATACTTGTGAATTAGCATCACAGACTATCCAGTGTTCTTATTGTTTTTTCTGGCTTTGGAGTGTGTGTGTGGAGGCAGCTGGGGAAACAGATCGACAATAGGGCAAATGAAGGCTTTTTAAAAAATTGTCTGCAATAGGCAAGAAGCCAAAGAAGAGTGATAAATGTTTTATGAAGGGCACAGCAAGGGATCAAACTGCTGATCGGAAACTCAGAGGAAAGAGAATGAAGAATTTCAGCCATTTCTTTGCCTTGCTGTAAAATACTGCTAGTATTTATGGTATAAACATTGGAGGGGAATTGTTTAGTCAGCTCATTAGTTAATCATTGCAGAATGTTCTGATCATTTAAAACTGGAGCAGGAAAGTAGTTCTTCTCTAGTGCTCTAGTCTAGCCAAATGCTACCAATCTTTAAATTAACTACAGTATGTTGGAAAATAGCATCCTTTTAATTTTTTTTAAAAAGAACAACACATACAGGGAGGATAAACAAGATACCAAAAGGACAAAAGACTGTAAATACAAAAGCTGCTCTTTGTCCCAAGTTTTAACATTATACAACATATTTCTGAATTAGCATGTATGATCTCACTTTTGAAAATCTATTCTCCCCCACATTCCTATTAAGCATAGTGGATTATCAAAGGTGATGGGAGGTCACAGGTTGATTTCTGGATGGTATTCAGGAAAGAACACAGAATTGCATTTTACTCACCACTTTATTACAGAAGAACAATTATTGATTTACTGTTATGTATTAAGTTTATATGACCATCCATCTCACGTAAAGTTCTGGGTGGTGTACAACAGAACTATTAAAACAATTAATAACTGTTAATAACAAGTTTATAAAAACAATGATTATTAAAAAATTAAAAACAACTTTAAAAATT